TGGTGATTCCCAAGTTCATACCAGGACAGCTTCTACGGCCTGCTCCAAATGGCAAGAGCTCGTAATCCTGACCTTTGTAGTTGATCGAGGTATTCGAAAACCTCTCAGGATTGAATTCTTCAGGGTTAGTCCAACATTTGGGATCACTGAAAGTAAATATGATCCCTTGATTATTCACAATGAATTACATCGATACATATAGAGAGGGAGGTTCCATAGAATAGGGAAGTCTCCTAAATCAAAGGGATTCTATACAATCAAGTATTAACAACATTATCTAAATATGGAATTGAATATATCATTCCTAACACCCCCCGCAGTCGCATCGTCGGGTTGTCGGACGGTGAGGCTGGAACGAAACTCTGTATGAAGTGAAGAAGGTAGCCCTTTGGTGAAGATATCAGCATACTGTAGAGATGTTGGGACATGTAGAACTCTGACCTCGCCAATAGCAACCTTGTCTCTGACAAAGTGAATGTCAAGCTCGATGTGTTTAGTTCTTTGATGTTGAACCGGGTTTGTGCTGAGGTAAACCGAACTGACATTGTCACAGTAAACTATTGAAGCAGAGGATATGGGACGATGAATTTCAAGCATCAAATTTCGGATCCATGTGAGCTCAGCAACAGTGTTAGCGACACCTTTGTATTCAGCTTCAGTACTTGATCGTGACGGTGTTGGTTGGCGCTTGCGGACCAGGATATGAGGTTGGGACCGAGAAAGACACAGTAACCCGAGGTCGACCGTCGTGTATCAGGGCAGCCGGCCCAGTCTGCATCTGAGTAGGCGGTGAGAGTGTCAATGTTGCCTCTTGTCATTTGAATTCCGAATTAAAGCGTGCCCTGCAAGTATCGGATGATGCGTTTGAGAGCATGAAGGTGTGGTACCCGAGGTTGGTGCATATAGAGGCAGATTTGATGAACAGCGTATGATATATCCGGACGCGTGAATGTCAAGTACTGTAGGGCACCAGCAAGACTTCGATAAAACGTCGGATTGTCAATGAGTTCACCGTCTGTGATGGAGAGCTTGGACTGTAGGTCAACCGGAGTAGCAAGTGGCTTGCAGTCTACCATGCCAGCACGAGTGATGATGTCCTGCGCATAAACCGATTGGCTAAGAAAGAGACCTTTGTCGTTGAAGTCTGCCTTTACACCGAGAAAGTGATGCAGCTTGCCCATGTTAGTCATTGGAAACTCTGTTTTCAGCTTTGAGATGATCTTTTGAAGAAAGAGTGTTGATGAAGCTGTCAAGAGAATGTCATCAACGTATAGAAGTAAGTAAGCACACTCACGTCCTCGCTTGAAAATGTAGAGAGAGGAGTCTGCTTTGCTTTGCACAAAGCCCATGAGCTTGAGGTATGAGGAGAATCGAGAATTCCAAGCTCGTGGAGCTTGTTTTAAACCGTAAATGGCTTTATTGAGCTTGCATACATGCGAGGGCTTGCTTTTGTCGATGAAACCGGGCGGTTGGTGCATGTAAACAGTTTCTTCAAGGTCTCCTTGTAGAAAGGCGTTTTTGACATCTAGTTGGTGAATTGGCCATTCAAGCGCAACTCCAACGTTGAGCACAGTGCGAATCGTTGTTGGCTTAACCACCGGACTAAATGTTTCATTATAGTCGATGCCCTCCTCTTGTGATTTGCCATTTGCGACCAGCCTTGCTTTGTGCCTGTTAAGAACTCCATCTGCATCATATTTATGCTTAAAAAGCCACATAGAACGCACAATGTTAACGTTAGGTGGTCTTGGTATCAAATCCCAAGTCTTAGTCTTAAGCATAGCACCATGTTCATCCGTCATGGCCGGATTCCAGTTCGGATCAGAGAGAGCTTGCAAGTGACTTTTAGGAAGTGGTGATTTGGTTTTGGTGATGAGGGAAAGAACCTGTTTTGGTTTTGATATACCGGCCTTAGACCGAGTGGTCATATTGTGGCGCGGTGGAAGTGTAGGAGCTGTGACTGGTGGCGGTGGAGGAGGAGTTGGGATTGGCGGAGGAGTTGGTGTTTGGAAAGGAGCTTGGAGGATGGACTGAAATTGAGGAGATGTATCATCACTGTCGTCAAGAAAAGTGTATGAGACGGGTGGGGTTATGGGTTCAGCAGCTGGGAATTTGGTCTCATCGAAGATGACATGACGAGAGATTATGATCTTTCTCGTTTTGAGATCCATACATCTATACCCGCGGTGTTGAGAGGGATACCCAAGAAAGAGACATGGGGTTGAAGGAGCTGAAAGTTTGGTGAGATTAGAATGATTGATGTTTGGAAAACACAAGCATCCGAAAACCCTTAAGTGTTCATATGTGGGTTGCTTTTGAAACAGGAGCTGAAAGGGAATTTGGTTGTGAATGGCTTTTGATGGAGTGATATTGAGGACATGAACAGCAACATGTAAGGCTTCAACCCAATAGGATGGTGGTAAGCGAGCTTGGAACAAGAGGGTGCGAATGGCATTGTTTATGGTTCTTATCATTCTTTCGGATTTCCCATTTTGTTGAGAGGTATGGGGACAAGAGAATCGAACATTGATGCCATGAGTAACAATCACGTCCTATCGTGTAAGTGTTGATCCTGATAAGGGCGTTCTTGGGAATGTGGTAGCCTTCAATCTCGATATCGGACATTGTTTCTCTTGGTAGCAAGAGAGGAGATGGTGGATGTAATCTGAATGTTTCTTTGATCACAAGATTCAAGTACTCGACTTTCTGTAGATCTTCTTCTGTGATTCTCTCTTTGTTGGATCCGAGTGTTGCTCGAATCTCTGCTTGGAGTTTTTTCATCACCCTTGGATGTCTGATTAGTTCTGTCACTATCCATACCATCGTGATTGTTCCCGCGTTCACTCCGGCCAAAACCACACCCTGATCAAATAACATACGTAATAGTTTAGGATTTTAATTAACGAAAATAAATTTTCAAAAAGAAACTTATATACATAATGGACCATAAAAAATGAAATGTTTGCCTATATCGCGAGTTAACTTGCTCTTCAAGCTATAAGTCTATAACTTAGCTTCTTAAGCTACCTCCAACATAGAATTTTAAAGATTGATACTAATTTAGAGATTATTCAGCACTCACCGACATCATGGCTATGAGATGGTTGGAAGTGATATTGAAAGAACTGAATTTAGAGGGTCTATTGATCATATCCAACATGGCACTGACGAGGTTGGAATGATCTTGGAGTTGTCCAATCTTTAATTGCTCATCGATCACATGTTGAAATAAATTGGTGAGTTTTGAAAAGGCTTTGTTCATCCTCGAATGTCGACCAGATATCCGGTCTGCAAGCCAACCAAGACCCGTGGGTAAGAAGTCAGTGAGTGCCAAGATGCAAACGTTGGTTTCCGCCTCTAGCACCAGCTCTTCAAGTCTGCCCATATCGATGAAATCACACTCGTGGAAGTTCTGTCCAAAGGCTAGTCTAAAGATGGTACCAGCGGTGAAGGAGAAAGAGGCTTTTCTCAAATCTATTAGGGTTTGTGTTTGAGCGGATTTTGATATTTTCTTGACCAGCAAGTCTCCTTCTTCTTCTCTGATATACCTGAAAGACTTTTGCTTTTTCGGACTAAAGAGCTCGAGCCCCACCAGCTTTTTCATCTCTTGCCAGTCTTCACCGTACTGAGTGAAACCAATGTCTTTGAAGTTGCGAGAAAACAACCCATTCGCCACCAGCTTAGGTCGGGTGCAAGTCTCTAGGTCATGAGTTTTGAGAACTTCTTTAGCTGTTTCTTTGGAAGAGAAGACGACCACAGGGACAACTCCGAAATGGAGAAGCATCACTGGTCCATGTTCTAAAGAGAGCTTGTGAAAAACACTGTGAAGTGATCTTCCAAGATGGTGCAAGTTTCCTATGATCGGGAGACCTCTAGGTCCTGGAGGAAGCTTCCTTTTCGAAGGTAAAAGCTTTTTAAAGAGGATCAAAAAGAGAGGGAAAAGGAAGAGGAAACCTAGGAAGATAGACATTATTGTTTTCTTTAACTCGTTTTGTTTTTCTTTGAATTTGGAGTGAAGAGCGTTTTGTTCTCGAGAGACTATATATAGGCAATGCATGTCGCAATGCATGTGGATGTGGTTAGGCTTTTGTAGTAAATGGTTTGCTTTTGCCCATTAAGGTGTTTAATGGATAGATAAGGAGAAGGCCCAAAAAACACAGATTAGATTTAGTGGTCTCTCTAAACCAAATCGACAACATAATGTGGTAATATACAAATCTAAACATTTTTTTGTGGAACTGATTCGTGTAACCATAACTAATCTGGTAATCTACAAATCTAAACATTTTTTGTGGAACTAATGTCATTTAACAAAAATAGAAAGAAAAAAAAAGCATAAATAATTTGGTATGATGAAATTTTAATATATATAATTTTTAAAACGGATCAAAAACCTTAAGAAAAGAATCCATCAAAAAACTGTTAACTCAGGTATGAACGAACTTGTTGATCTCAATTCAATTAAAAATTTTAAATTTATTATATATTATCTTCTTCACATTTTCATTTTTTAAGAAATTCAACCAAAAAAATACTAGAAAACAAACATTTTCAATTCTATGATTAATGGTTAAAAATAGATGAACGAACAAAATTATATAATCAGACATCTTTATCAAACAATATAATCACACATCTTGCTAAAATCTAAATAAAAATAAATCCATCAATCCATTCTTCTTCTAAAGACTTTTTGTTTGGATTCTTTTTTTTTCCAACTATCTTGAGAGAGATTAATATGAGCCATCCAAAGTGATTGTGGAAGGAAAATAGAACAGAAGAAACAAATTTTATAATAAAAAATTTGGAATTTTTTCCTTGTGAAACTAAAGTTTATTTCTTCCTTGTGAAGAGTTTTGCTTTTGATGTGAACAGTGCTAAAAGGGTCTGTGCGATCCGGTCGCAAGTATACTACTTCGAGATTTCATCCATCAGATCATAGTGACTATACAAAACGCTGCCGTTTCTTAGATAAAGACCACTTCAGTGAAAATTTGAAAGAGAAAATTAACATAAGTTTTTATTGAAGATATATAGAAACATTATAAATCATGGATATATGACAACCAGGATAAACATATGACAAGAAAAAACCAAATGTATGATAGAGGCAAACATACAAATCTTGATCTTATTTAATACTTTTTGTTCACGAATGATGATGGAAGAGTTGGTACGAGCTCAAGAGGAATTTTCTTGGCGATGTTTAAAGCTCCAACTTCTTCCATGTCAATATCTGCAATGGTCATTCCATCGGGCAAACTCCAATTGAAGAAATAAAGAAGATTAAGAAGGCCTAGCTCAAGAATGGTGATTCCTAAGGCCATCCCGGGACAGCTCCTACGACCAGCTCCAAAGGGCAAGAGCTCGAAATGCTGACCCTTGTAGTTTATAGAAGTATTGAAAAATCTTTCAGGCATGAATTCGTCAGGGTTAGTCCAACATTTGGGATCACGTCCTATCGTGTAAATGTTGATCTCAATCATGGTGTTTTTGGGAATGTTGTAGCCTTGAATCTTGATGTCGGACATTGTTAATCTTGGGAGCAAGATTGGAGCAGGTGGGTGTAATCTGAATGTTTCCTCGATCACCATCTTTAGGTACTCAACTTTCTGTAGATCTTCTTCTGTAATTCTCTCTTTGTTGGACCCGAGTGTTGCTCGAATCTCTTCTTGAAGTTTCTTCATCACTCTTGGATGTCTAATTAGCTCTGTCATTGTCCATATCATCGTGATTACCCCGGCGTTAACTCCCGCCAAAAACACATTCTGAATAAATAACATACGTAAGAATTCATGATTTTGGTTTGAAAATAGAATTTAGAAGCTAAACAAAGATGTATAAATAGACGACCATCAAGGCGAAATTTTAATTTGCTCCCCAAGCTATATATATATATATATATAACATCGCTTTCAGATTATACTTTTAATATAAACATTTAAGATTGGTACTAGTTAAGAAATCCTTCACACTCACCGACATGACTCCTTTGAGATGATCGGAAGTGATCTTGAAAGTGCCTATATTTGTAGGTTTATTGATCATATCCAACATGGCACTGATGAGGTCTGAGTGATCTCGGTGTTGTTCAGTCTTTAAATGATCATCAATCACATGTTGAAATAAATTGGTGAGTTTGGAAAAGACTTTGTTCATCCTCGAACGCTGACCAGAGAGCCGGTCTATAAGCCATCCGAGACCCGTGGGGAAGAAGTCAGTGAATGCCAAGGTGCCTACGTTGGTCTCTGTCTCTGTCACCAGCTCTTCGACTCTCTCCATATCGATAAAATCACACTCGCGGAAGTTTTGTCCAAAGGCAAGTCTAAATAAAATACCGGCGGTGAAGGAGAAAAGGGCTTTTCCCAAATCCACTTGGGTTTGTGTTTGAGTAGATTTTGAAATTTTCTTGACCAGCAAGTCACTCTCTTCCTCTCTGATGTACCTAAAAGACTTTTGTTTTTTCGGACTAAAGAGCTCGAGCCCCACGAGCTTTTTCATCTCTCGCCAGTCCTCGCCATATTGAGTGAAACCAATATCTTTGAAGTTGTAAGAAAACAAACCGGTTGTGACCATCTTAGGTCGGGTGCAAGTCTCTAGGTCATGAGTCTTGAGAACTTCTTTAGCTGCTTCCTTGGAGGAGATTACGACTACAGGGACGACCCCGAAACGGAGAAGCATCACTGGCCCATGTTCTAAAGAGAGCTTGTGAAGAGAACTGTGAAGCAATCTTCCAAACTGGTGCAAATTTCCTATAATCGGAAGACCCGTAGGTCCCGGAGGAAGCTTCATTTTCGAAGGTGAAATCTTTTTAAATATAATCAAAAAGAGAGGGAAGAGGAATAGAAAACATAGGAAGATAGACATTATTCTTATCTTTTGTTTTGGCTAAGTAACTCTTTTTTCTTCTTCTTTGTATTTGGAGTGAAGAACATTTTGTTGTCAAAGAGGCATTATATGGGGCAATGCATGTGGTTAGGTTTTTGAACTAAATCAAAGTTTTTGTACTCTCACGACTCACGAAGCATATCAATGATCTTATTTTTAATGGGTGGTGAAGGAGAAGACTTCAAAAACTTAGGTACAAAGCTCTCTCCCTCTAACCAAACCGACAACAATAAGGTGGCAATCAACATATATCTAAACTTTTGTTTTTGTGGAACTGGTTCGTGTAATCCACCGTTCACCAAACTAATTAGGTTTGATAATTATATTTTGCAATAATAGAAAATGCAGGGTTTCACTAACTCAAATCCTGAAAGAACTGGAACAAAATCAAGCTAAAAACAGAGTAAAAAAGTAAAGGGTTAGTGACGTCGTTCATCTTCAACTAGGTCTGTTTTTTTAAAATTAAATTATCAACAAAATTCCAGGTTTTATTTATTTATAGTATATATCTCCAAGTTCTCAAATAATAATTATCAAAAAAATGAAATCTCAAATAAAAAAGTTATGATATTTTTAATAGTTTTCTTCATTACTCCAATAACTATATGTTTTAGTATAAAAATTACTTTCAAACCTAACAAAAGGATTAGCAATTTAGCATTATTCTTCTGCTTTATTTTTATTTTTTTTTAGCTGACAAAGAAAAGGAAATACAATTTAAAGTTTGACTATTATATTTTTTCAATAAAAATGGGTCCATCTAATTAACTAATTAATAACTCGATTCAATCATTGAAAGCATTAGAGCAGTTTTGACTTCATATATAGTAACTGAAAGTAGACTTCATACTTTTGAAAACCAATTCTTTATCATACATAAACCCTGAATCTTGTGGAATCAAATACTTTAATGTAAAGTCAACTTTTTTTTTTCTTTGTCAACTTAAAAACGGATTTTAAAAGACCATTTCAACAAAAATTGAAAGATACGATGTTTAGATACAGTAATGAAACATTATTATATAAACATGAAACATGCTGATTACAGGACAAAATAAACGTAAAAGTAAAACAAAGAACAAACCAAAATCCAAACCAGTAGTACTAAAGTAGACATAAATATAGAAATCTTGTTATTATTTAACATAGTTACATTCTTCACCAGCGATGAAGAGTTGGTACGAGCTCAAGAGAGATTTTCTTGGCGATGACAAAAGCTCCGTCTTCTTCCATGTCAATATCTTTAGTGGTCATTCCATTAGGCAAACTCCAATCGAAGAAGTAAAGAAGGTTAAGAAGGCCGAGCTCGACGATGGTAATCCCCGTGGCCATCCCGGGACAGATCCTACGTCCGGCTCCAAACGGCAATAGCTCAAAGTGCTGACCCTTGTATTCGATAGGGTTATCGACAAACCTCTCGGGGATGAACTCGTTGGGTTCTGTCCAGGTTTTGGGATCACGTCCAATCGTGTAAGTGTTGACTTGGATCATTGTGTTCTTGGGAATGTTGTAGCCTTGAATCTTGATGTCCGACATTGTTAGTCTTGGGAGCAAGAGAGGAGCCGGTGGGTGTAATCTGAATGCTTCCTCGATCACGAGCTTCAAGTACTCAACTTTCTCTAGGTCTTCTTCTGTGATTTTCTCTTTGTTGGGTCCGAGCGTTGCTCGAATCTCTTCTTGAAGTTTTTTCATCACTCTCGGATGTCTGCTTAGCTCTGTCATCGTCCATATCATTGTGATGGATCCCGCGTTCACTCCAGCCAAAAACACATCCTGATCAAATGACATAAAATGATTCATGTTTTGGTTTTTGAATAGGACACAAATATAAATTTGAACCAGTCAGAAAACAAGAAAATGAATGAAATGGGATATTTGCCTATATTCATAAGTTAACTTGCTTCCCAAGCTATAATATTGTTCCTCAAGTTACCTCTAATGTAAAACTTTGAAGATCTTACTAACAGGATTTTGTACTCACCGACATAACTCCTTTGAGATGGTCATCGGTGACTTTATAAGAACCGACTTTAGTGGGTTTATTGATCATATCCAACATGACACTGATGATGTCTGAGTGATCTTGGATTTTTCCACTCTTCAAATGATCATCAATCACAAGTTCAAAGAAATTGGTGAGTTTGGCAAAGGCTTTGTTCACCGTGGAATGCTGACCGGAGATCCGATCTATGATCCACCCTGCAGGTAAGAAGTCAGCAAAAGCCAAGGAACCGAGGTTGGACTCCGACTCAAGCACCAACTCTTCCACTGTCTCCATATCGACAAAATCGCAGAAATTTTGTCCAAAAGCAAGTCTACAAATGATGCTTGCCGCAAAGGTAAAAATGACTTTCCTCAGATTAACTGATGAAGTTGGTGTCTCACGAGCAGAACTTGATACCCGCTTGACCAAAAACTCGCTCTCTTCCTCTCTAATATACCTGAAAGACTTAAGCTTTTTCGGGCTAAAGAGCTCGAGCACCGCGATTTTCCTCATCTCTCGCCAGTTCTCACCATACGGAGCAAAACCAATATCTTTGAAGTTGTAAGTAAACAACCCGCTCCCCACCGTCTTAGGTCGGCTACAAGTCTCAAGATCATGAGTCTTGAGCACTTCCTCAGCTCCTTCTTTGGAAGAGACAATGATCACAGGGACTACCCCGAAATGGAGAAGCATCACCGGTCCATATTTTTGAGAGATTTTGTGAAGAGATTTGTGAAGAAATCTTCCAAGCTGGTGCAAGTTTCCGATGATCGGAAGACCCTTAGGTCCCGGAGGAAGCTTCCCTTTTGACGGTAAAAGCTTTTTTAAGAAGATAATGGAGAGAGGCAAGAGTAAGAGGAAACAAAGGAAGATAGACATTTTCTTGTTTGTTTTTGGCTAAACTTTCTTCTTGTCTTTGATTGAAGTGAAGTGTAATTAATGAGTTCTCAAAGACGCATATATATAGAGCCATAGAGGCAATGCATGTGGTTGGCTTTTGACTAAATCAAAGTTTCCCTAAACCCAAGTTTCTATTTATTTTACTCTCTTGTTTTTCACCAACAAAGTCTCACTCTATTATTATTGAAAGTTTCCATATATATGTAAATATTAGAGATATTTCCTACGAGGGGTATAAAAAGTTGTCATTATCTAAAGCCTTTTAGCCGACTCTAAATATTCTTCTGTTTGTTTTAAAAACTTTCAATAAAGTTAACTTGTTCCCTCTATATCTATAATATTTATATTGTGTTTGATTAAAGTCAAGTCTCTCGAGGCACACATAATGTTTTTGTAAGCCTCCCTTGATGGTGTTGTGAGAAGTGAGAACACAAATGTTTTTTTTTTTTCAAATATATTTTGTAATCGGTAAAAGTCTTGAATTTCAATCTTCAACATTTCTCAACCCAATAAAATGCAGCACCATTTTATCCTGTTGGAATAATTCTTGCGGGACGACTAAAATCGAGATACCAACCTACAAAGCATTTTACATTCTATTTATTGACGGTTGCGTAGCTTTTCATTTGATATTTGGATAGTTATTTATGTTGTATACTTGTTGTATGGGTCGAGAAATTGAATATTCTGTGATTTCTATCGTTAAGCTCAAAAAAGGCATCGCAAGAGTCATTCTATTATTGCTATCTATCTATTTATTACCCCATTAAGGAAGCTCAACCACCAGACACGACTATTTTGATAGTCCTCTTTAATTCCCAATTGATCCAAATTTATCAACTTTTGTATACTACGGTTCATTTTTTCAATACGATTAAATTATTTAACGTTTTAAAAAGGTGATGCGTTTGTACGAAAATATGAGGTTTACCGTGTTGTTGGTCAAACAACGTCGCAAAAAATTTGTACGTGACTAGAGCCTGTGGGTTATAAAAAATATGAATTCAAATGTTTCTTACGAATATATATATATATATATATATATATATATATATATATGAGATTTTAGAATTTTTACTTCAATTCAACAAGTCCATATTGACTTTATCAGAAAGTCGCAAGTTCTTTGCAACGTGTAGTTGTCTTAAAAGCTTACGATCCATCATATTTTTGTATATATATATCTTCTGTTAACTCGTTTTTGAATCTTTGGAATGAAAACTGATAAGATATTGGACAAGAATTTGACCTTGTTATATATAGTTTTAATACAATTTGTTTCTTTCGTACATAGATGTTGAATGTATTCCGAAGAATATAGGATATAGATGAATGAAAAACACAAACGAAAATATCTTGTGTTCTACGAAGACTAGCTACAACATATATTAAATGCTACAAACAAAAATGTTGTAGAACAAATCCATTTGTAAAAAGTAGACAAAAATGTCTTGAGAATGATTTTCAGAAATCGTATATATGATAAGATTGTAAAATAAATAGCTCTTCAATATTTCGATTTATCGATTATTTAAATAATACTATGAATGAAATATTATATTTAACCAAAATAAATTGAAAGTACCGTAATTAACTGTTATAACCAATATTACATAGTAACCAAACCAACCAAGATTCCAAAAGTCCGAACCGAATGCTAATTACGGTATTCATTAACAATCCCGAACTGAGCCAACTTGATACAACCCATACCGAACCGGAATTATTATGGTTTAAACTTTAAAAGATTGATTATTTTTATATAAAAAAACATAAAATATAACAAAAGATGGGCTTTATAATATTGGGCCGAGCCCATGTGTTGAAGGGTGTTTCATAATGAAATTTCCCGACTGATGATGTATACTATTCTTCTTCGATCTCTTCTTCTTTGATCTTTTCTCTGAAGCCATAACAGAGCAAGTCGTGACTCGTGAGCAACAACAAGTAGGCATCGATCTCTCTCTCTCTCTCTCTCTCTATAGATTGATAGATTCTCTTTTTAACGAATCTGATTCTGAATTGATTCATATGATTGGGGTTTATTGATCTGAAATAGATGATGTAGTGTAACTAGTTAGGTGATTAACAGTATAATTTTAAGGTTTCTGTTTAGAAATCTGCATTTATCTCACCACAATTATGTCTGGCTATTGAGGAAATCTGGAAAAGTATGGATTTTGCTTGTTTTAGGCATCGTTTATTCCTTTTGGCAATGATTTTAGGCATATATTTGTAATCTCAGACAAGATTTGTGTAGGTTTTAGGTTTTAGACACATGTACTTGATTGTGTCTCTCCTTTGTTCCACTTCTGTCCTTGTATTACGATCTGTAACTCATGTTCTTGATTGTGTCCCCGTGTAGTGAACTTGGTGATGAATAAAGTAGCTAATAAAACTTGGTGATTGTGTCATCGATTGTTGTTAGGTATAGAGAAGTCTTCTTATTTGTTTTGTTTTGATTTGAATCCAGAAGCGTAACCAGGTTAAAATACTTGTTTAAGTTTTGGTGAGTTATGTTAATACTTAGCTGATTTTGGATTTGTAATATGACGTGAATGGGCTTTTTTCTTTTTATATGTCAGTGATGTTCTAGTGTTTCCATTTGATAATTAAATAATAGTGTTATTAACTCAAAATTTTTTATCAACATCTTTATAGAGAACGGAAGTTCAAAGCTTTTGGTTGTGGTGGGTATGCTTTGGTTTCAATCTGGTGTTAGGTTTTGAGATATATCTGTATATTTAGAGGTGGAAGTCCGAAACTTTTAGCTAATTTTTAATTGCAAGCTTTGTTCTTTTGATTGAATTTGATGGGGTTTGTATTTCGTCGTAGCTTCTAATTCATATATAAGCTCCGATAGGAAGTTTTTGATCAAAGGAGAGAAAAAGTAGTGATTTTGGGGTTTTGCATAATCAAAGTTAGGATTTGAGTTTGAGGGGAACAAGATGTGTACTTACAGATTTCTCTGTGCGTTTTGGTATTTCATGATCCGAGACTTACTGTTATATATTTGCTCGTCGAAATCGTGCTACGATACTACAAAATAGTTAGGTCTGGTTGAATTTATAAAGAAACCATCTGTTGTAACTTATGTGAGTAGCTTACTTATCTAAGGGGTGTGACAAAACAGTTTAAAAATGTAGCGGAGAAATTATGAATAGAAACAATCTTTAGGCCAATTCTTTCTGTTCTTGGTACTTAATCTTTGTGTTCCTCCAATTCTCATAACTGTTTCATTGTGTATGGCAGGGATGAATCTTTCTCCGTTCAAGAGAGATATCGATGAGCTCATAGACGAGTTTGTGGAGGTATTTTTATTCTTTTTCTCAAAGAAATCTTTGTTATAGCTGAAGGAAAATTTTGAATTTCACTTCTTTTCCATCTTCCAATTTGTTGAATCTCTTCTGGTTTTAATTTTCAGGGTGATTTGACAACGTATGCTGATATGAAGAGCGTGTGGCTATCCCGAAATTTTTCTTATATATATGATGCTAGTCCTAACAGCAACTTAGCCTTTTTCATGCAGTCACTATATGTTCATACCATCGGTACGTTGAGGTCTAATTCCTGGTTTGTTGGAATAATCAAAATTGATTTGTCGTTGCTGTTTGCATTCACTTTGTACTTGGTTCCTAGCTAAACACACAAGCCAACCTTATGTTCTACAGGTAACATGGTTAGTATTGATTCCTTTTCACGGAGACTTGGAGGTCTCTACTGTCTCTATTGCCTTCATGAGATCCAACCCTTTAAACCCAAGTTCAGAATTTATATCTCACTTCGTAAGTGTTTACCCCTTTTGTCGTTTTTGTTGTGAGCTTTTATAATGTGTACATAACAATATGATCTAACTATCGTTTTTCACTAGTTTCTCTCTTCAAGCCCAAAACGTGAAAGCTGCTGTGATGTGGTTCATTCATTGGGTTTTAGCTTTTCTTTTTTGCAATTCTTTCGAAGCTCTCTTTATCGTTAGAATCATACTAAACTTATACGGCTCTCATCTTGTAGAAGAGCTCGGGAAATTTAGGGACCTTGTAGTTGAGGCAAAAGATAAAGGTGTAGAGATAGCTGCTGCTGTGGCAAAACAAATGCTTGATAAGAACATGTTTATCTTTGGAGCTGTAGAGGAAGCTTCTGCAACCAGGAAAGTTAATCAATTAACAGAGCTACAGAACGCACGTGTGCGGTTTGCCTATGATAGGTATGTGATTTTGACCTTGATTTTTTCGGAGGACTAACAAATCGTAATTTTGAAATAACCTTGTTAGTGATATGATTTTCATCTTGACTTGCCAGGTTAATCTCTGACACTAGTATTGAGCAATTTATTCATTTGGATATGGTCAGTACGAGAAATTTAAGTATTTACATTCCCGTGATTTGCATAATTGTATATCTCTAGTGCTTTTATCCCAAGATAGAAGACCAAAGGATATATATGTCCAACAGTTTTGATTTTATTCTTTACTAAAGTGTCTTATATTGCACCATTTTTGCGTCTTTTGTGCTTATCAGGGTAAGGAAGTTAATCTGAATTCCCTAGATAAAATGTCTATAGAATATGCAGAGGCCAAGAAGCGTGCAATTGAAGGTATGCTACTTTCATATGAACTGTTTCTGCTCTTTTTTTTTTTTTATAATTTCTCTAAGTTTTATTATAGATGCTGTTTCCCTCCCATCCCATCTCTGAAAGAGCAAAATTGTCAAGTTTATATGATTTTGAGCTCTGTGAGATTTTAAGCATGCGTGTAGTAATGTTTTGTGTTGTACCATCATGATTCATTATGTTTATATCCCTTGTTTTTTTTTTAATCTTTAAGGTGCAGGACAAATAATGGAGATTGAGGACATAAAGCACATATCAGAAGAGAAAGAGTTGATGGGAGAGAGAATGGAGAAACTGAAAGAGGAATGGGATTCACAAAGACTTTCATTTTATGAACAAACCAAGCTTGATGGTCTTACTACGACACCGGAACTGTTGAAAGATGTGGAACATGATGAAGACGATGGGTTTGATGAGCTTGATCGCTTACTTTCTCAAAGCTAGTTTTGCCATTGCAATCGCCATTCAAGGTTGATGGATGCCCGCGGCGCGGATGAAAAACTCTCTGTAGTTATGGCATTTACAAGTAAGGTTTTGCGTCAGTCAAACTCTGTATCAAATGTTTATTTTTCTGGCTCTGACGATGAATTTTTGATTAGGTAAAATATCAGAGTCAGGTTGTTGAAGAGAGCTACACACAAATCTCGTTAAATCAAGAGAGCAACATGTTTGATTAGGAGAATATATTGGTTAGTAAATTCTGTATCTAACAAGGGGATTAAGAAACCTTAGTTCCGGTGTTTCTTACTATTGGAAAATATGTAGTTTGTCATATTCTCGAGTATAGGTGTTTAGAAATATGTAAATCCATCAAGAGATATCATATAACCCAAAGAATAATCATTGATTATAATTGTTGACACACAAAAGATGATAAATTAGCAGAACATCTAATTTATCAAGGACTTGATCTTGTTTTCATATACGTCATAAAGCTGTCTGAGGTATACATTTATCTACTAGTGCTATATTATAAATAAAAAGAAAAAAGTTTATGTGGCTGATTTGGACAAATGACTTTTTGATGATTGTATAATTTGAGATAATGTGGGACATGTAAATGGATACTAAAGGGGGTTGGTGAGACGAGTGGTGTCCGATGGATCTTTGCCACTGTGGTTGGTGGTCCTCTCGCTAATTTTTCAGGGCTCACGTAAGTTCATTTATATTTGAGTTTTTTTTTTTTTTGTGTGTGCTTAGTCAGCATTTTAGAGAGTGGATAATTATATTGAAAAATTGTTGGTAAGTTCGGAACATCTAGTTGGTAAGTTTGTTGTCACCAAGTAAAAAACAGGGTTCAAATTTTGTTTTGAAAAGGTTTTGGTTCCACCGGAAAGATGTATGAGATTCGGTCCATAACTCATCAATGAACAAAAAAAAAAATTGTTGAATTGAATTTTAAGGTTTATATGTTGACAAAAATATGTAAGAGTAAAAACAAGTTATTATATTCAACCGTATTTTGTATAAAAAAAAATTGAAAGTTGAAGAGAATATAAAACTTAAATGGTGTAGGAATAAAAAACCAGTTGATTAATGGTTAAATAATCTGTCTGTCTCATGATACATGGTGTTAAAATGGTGTCTTAGTCTTCACATTTGTTTAAAATAGTCCCGGAAATGGGGTCCTGTAAAAAATATATAATACATTTCCTTTAAACAAAAGAGAAATTTTGACCCCCAAAAAAAAAAGAAAACAAAACAAAAGAGAAACAGTTGTTACCGACAAGTCAAAATATCTGCGGACAAAAAGAAAATGCTAGTTAGAAAGAAAATGTGGTAAAGAGCATACAATACACGCATGCAAGTATTTCAATGAACCCATCTTACCAACCCACTACTTCTTTCAGCCATAATTGTTTGGTTTATGTATTGATGATTTGTCTTCAAATATGTTAGATATTGTTTTTCGGCTACCTATTAGCAGCAATCAAGTTAAAAGAGTGGTTCGATATCACCATCGAACTCTCCATTAGATCTTTTCCTAAATAAAACAAAAATTGGTCCGATCATCTGATAAGTTCTTCGACGATTTCACGTGATGTTACAACCTACATCAAAATAGATTGTAAGGGGAAATAATAGCTTACAAAGTAAATAATTCAGATTTGTTTGTCTAATTTTCCTTTTTTCAAAGATCTAATTTTATTTTTCCTGTTTTAATTTGTTTTGCATTTGAAAGTAAAAGATCATTCAATATAACACCAAATTCATGTTCCCTGCAATTAGTTGATCGTTTTAAAAAATAGTTTTATAGGTGCGTCAATTTAGACCATTTAATTATGTTCTTAAATATTGCGTACATGCCATTTCCTTTATCATGCAGACGGTGTGTGTTTCTTTACTTACTGTCCGCCAAAAATTTATAAAAACCCGAAAAAACTCTGGTTTATTTTTTATTTGGACGTTTAATACCCAAATTTTTTTGGTTGGAAGAAAAAACACATAATAATTAAAATTTACGATTTAATACCTATAAAAATAAAATGTAGTTATTTTCATACATACGGTTTTATAACAAAAATAAAATTCCAATTTTACCTTTACAATTAGAATATATCATTAATTTTAAATGACATGGCAATAATTTTTAATTTTATTTGAATAAACAATAATTTCTATTTATATTTCGTTTTATTAAAATTATTTTATTTATAAATTTCAAAAAAAATCTGAATAAATAAATAAAAAATGTCGAAAAAGAAAAATTAGGAAAAAGAATAGAGAATCGAATAAAAAGTCGACTGAGTAGTATGGAACTTCATCAATTAACCATATGCATTCTCAAATTTGTATCCTTTAGCAAAAATCGATTAAGAACTTAATTTGAAATCAAACCCAGAAATTTTGGTGTTATTAGAAAACATAAAAAGCTAAGAATTCGGAAAAAAAAACAAATTAAATCCCGTTATGAATAGTTATCAACCGAAAGCAAAACACATAAGTCATTGATATTGAAATTGATTTGAAGAACTTGACGATTTGAAATCGGAAAAAACAAAGGCATAGGACCAACCGGTCAATTCTCTCTATTTTTAGTCAAATCTCTTTCTTTTCCATATTTTTTTAATTTATAAATAAAATAATAAAATAATTTTAATAAAAAATAATATAAATAGAAATAACTTTTTATCCAAATAAAATTAAAATTATTGCCACATCATTGAAAATTAATGATATATTCTAATTGGAAAGGTAAAATTGGAATTTTATTTTTGTTATGAAAGCGTAAGTATGAAAATAACAATATTTTATTTTTATAGGTATTAAATCGTATATTTTAATTATTATGTGTTTTTTCTTCCAATCAAAAAAATTTAGGTATTAAACGTCCAAATAAAAAATAAACCAGAGTTTTTTCGGGTTTTTTCCCTCATTAAATTATAATTTTTTTAATTAGCTCGAGGTCTCAAGCATTATTTTACCACTATAAAAACACACATTCTATTGGAAATAAATTAATCATTTTTCTTTTTTTTTTGCTAAGAATGTAAATAAATTAATCATTTACCCCTAAACGATTACTTGAATATCTATAACTATAATCCATTATCAGTAGAAATGATTATATCTATAACTGTAACCCATTAAAAGACCATCGAAAGTTTTAAGTTTATGATCGACTAAATTGGGGCATATTGTCATAGTGTTCAATAAATATTATTTCATGTCAAACGAATCGGCAAAATAAACCTGGTCGCATTCTTTTCATGAATAGAAACCGGCAATAAACAACTTTAAAACATTAAATTTCCATTCTATAATCAAAGATGGTATCTATTATAAGCAAAACAAAAACGTTATATTTCTTTAGATCTTCATCCATGTTATTCAATGTATACCCTTGTTTTTTTTCTTTTTCTTCTATAAATTTTATTTTCTTAAATTTATGAAGTACTGAATTATGATGAAAAACCACTTACACTTACGGACTTACCCATAGGCCATAGCACTTGACAGATAATCATATTTTAAAACGTATATAACTTCTTTAATTGGAGTCAAATGTTCCGCCTTGTACAAATCTAGTAATATCATTAACCAAATAGCAAACTAATTAAATATTTGTTTTGAGATCAAATGTTCGGTTTAGTGTTGATACTGACAAAATCTATTAGTTAAGAAATTGTAAAATAAAAGGATCGATAAAGTATAGAATAGATAGTCTAACCCATAAAGAAAGAAATAATAACAAAAACAAATTCATGCTGGTTTGGTTCGATTTCAACTAGTTGTATAAGAATATTTGTTTTTGATACATATAAACAAATATGTATAATGAGACCAAACTACAAATAGAAACTAAAATAATTATTGAGAACGAAATTAGTGGGGACGACTTTGAATTGACTGAACTACGTTCTTACGTACGTTCCACAACCACTCCCATTTCATTCCCAAACCATAATCACTCACTCGTAAAAAAAAAAAAAAATTGTCTCCAAATGTCTCACCAACCGCAAAACGCTTATTATCCTCTCAATTCCTCAGCCACCAGCCACCAGCCACCCAGCCACGACCACCTTTTCGACGCCCGAAGTTGATATTGACGGAACACACAAATTTAACCAAACCATACCAAACCAAACGCGTTACAAAAGTGAAAAATAATTGACAAACTCTTTTTGCGACTCAAACCAAATTCACGTTTTCCATTCTTCACCATTAGATCACCAATCTTCATCCAACGGTCATCATTAAACTCTCACCCACCCCTCATTCTCCATTCTTTTTTTTTCTCCAAAAAATCAAAACTTGTGTTCTCTTCTCTTATGCTTACCTAACAACAACACTAACATTGTCCTTCTTATTTAAACGTCTCTTCTCTCTTCTTCTTCCTCAGAAAACCAAAACCCACCAACAATTCAAAATCCCTCTCTCCTTCACCAAACAATACAAAGAGAGATCTCAATATCTGATCACATTCACTTTTTGAAACCCAATGGATCAAATCGAAGCAATGTTGTGCGGCGGAGGAGAGAAGACGAAAGTGGCGGTTACTACGAAGACGTTGGCGGATCCGTTGAACTGGGGTTTAGCGGCGGATCAAATGAAAGGAAGTCATTTAGATGAAGTGAAGAAGATGGTTGAAGAGTATCGGAGACCAGTTGTGAATCTCGGCGGAGAAACACTGACGATCGGACAAGTTGCGGCGATCTCCATCGTAGGCGGCAACGTTAAGGTTGAGTTAGCGGAGGCTTCAAGAGCCGGTGTCAAAGCTAGCAGTGATTGGGTTATGGAGAGTATGAACAAAGGTACTGACAGTTACGGTGTCACCACCGGCTTTGGTGCTACTTCTCACCGGAGAACCAAAAACGGCACCGCATTACAAACAGAACTCATTAGGTAATTAATTAAATCCAATACCTTATATTATAACTAATTAATAATTAAACAACTCAATAGGAATGTGATCAGAGAAATAATAAATTAGTGGCTTAAGTGGATATACTCACGAGTATACAATTTGCATGGGATATAGACTGGGTCGGTGACTTCGGGCCGGGTCGGGTCGGGTCTAATTAATATATAATTAAATATTGTTTATTTTCCGTTTTCAGATTTTTGAACGCCGGAATATTCGGAAACACGAAGGAGACATGTCACACGCTGCCGCAATCCGCCACAAGAGCCGCCATGCTCGTCAGAGTCAACACTCTTCTCCAAGGATACTCCGGTATCCGATTCGAGATTCTCGAAGCGATTACAAGTCTCCTCAATCACAACATCTCTCCTTCACTTCCTCTCCGTGGAACCATAACCGCCTCCGGCGATCTTGTTCCTCTCTCTTACATCGCTGGACTTCTCACTGGCCGTCCTAATTCCAAAGCCACCGGTCCCGACGGTGAATCGCTAACCGCGAAAGAAGCTTTCGAGAAAGCCGGAATCAGTACCGGATTCTTCGATCTACAGCCTAAGGAAGGATTAGCGCTCGTTAATGGCACGGCGGTTGGATCTGGCATGGCGTCGATGGTTTTGTTTGAAGCGAATGTTCAAGCGGTGTTAGCGGAGGTTTTATCAGCGATTTTTGCGGAGGTGATGAGTGGAAAACCTGAATTCACCGATCATCTGACTCATCGTTTGAAGCATCATCCCGGACAAATCGAAGCGGCGGCGATAATGGAACATATCCTCGACGGAAGCTCATACATGAAATTAGCTCAAAAGCTTCACGAGATGGATCCATTGCAGAAGCCGAAACAAGATCGTTACGCTCTCCGTACATCTCCTCAATGGCTCGGACCTCAAATTGAAGTAATCCGTCAAGCGACGAAATCGATAGAGCGTGAAATCAACTCCGTTAACGATAATCCGTTGATCGATGTTTCGAGGAACAAGGCGATTCACGGTGGTAACTTCCAAGGAACACCAATCGGAGTTTCTATGGATAACACGAGATTGGCGATTGCTGCGATTGGGAAGCTTATGTTTGCTCAATTCTCTGAGCTTGTTAATGATTTCTACAACAATGGACTTCCTTCGAATCTAACAGCTTCGAGTAATCCAAGTTTGGATTATGGATTCAAAGGAGCAGAGATTGCTATGGCTTCTTATTGCTCAGAGCTTCAATACTTGGCTAATCCAGTCACAAGCCATGTTCAATCAGCTGAACAACATAATCAAGATGTGAATTCTCTTGGATTGATCTCGTCTCGTAAAACCTCTGAAGCTGTGGATATTCTCAAGCTAATGTCAACAACGTTTCTTGTGGGGATATGTCAAGCTGTGGATTTGAGGCATTTGGAGGAGAATCTGAGACAGACTGTGAAGAACACAGTTTCTCAAGTTGCTAAGAAAGTGTTAACCACTGGAATCAATGGTGAGCTACATCCGTCACGGTTCTGTGAGAAAGACTTGCTTAAGGTCGTTGATCGTGAACAAGTGTTCACGTATGTTGATGATCCGTGTAGTGCTACGTACCCATTGATGCAGAGGCTGAGACAAGTTATCGTTGATCACGCTTTGTCCAACGGTGAGACTGAGAAGAATGCAGTGACTTCGATCTTTCATAAGATTGGAGCTTTTGAAGAGGAGCTTAAGGCTGTGCTTCCAAAGGAAGTGGAAGCCGCTAGAGCGGCTTATGGTAATGGAACTGCGCCGATTCCTAACCGGATTAAGGAATGTAGGTCGTATCCGTTGTATAGGTTCGTGAGGGAAGAGCTCGGAACGAAGTTGTTGACAGGAGAAAAGGTTGTGTCTCCCGGAGAGGAGTTTGATAAGGTCTTCACTGCAATGTGTGAAGGTAAAATTATTGATCCGTTGATGGATTGTCTCAAGGAATGGAACGGAGCTCCGATTCCGATTTGCTAAGAGAGAATTCCTCTGTTTCTGTTCTGTTTCAATTTAAATTTTGCTGTTTCTGTTTTTTTTTTTTTATGATTGAATTGAGTTTTTGATTGTAATGTGAATGGTGTCACACTTTGTATGATATAAAATTTACGTGTAAAACTCGTTGTTAAATGTTAACTTGTTACTTTAATGTTGCCATTTGTGGATTCGACACCGTTGACAAAAGAGATAGATCAAGACTTAAGATTTATTTGTGTTTGGCTTCAAAGTTCAACTGATGGTAGAATAATACAGAAGCAATTGATAAAAACTGGAAGTTGTTTCTATTCTCTAACAATATCTGCATCAGAAAAGAGTTCAAGTCTGCTCTATGACACACATAGTTTTACTTAATTTCTGGCCGTTTTTGTCTAACCATTGTGAATCCTTTTACGAGAATTTCTCCTTTTGGTTACGTGAATTATTTTCTGTTCAAAAGTTGATCTCATGGCCAATTTTTAGAAGGCCTGAGCTTCCACGCCGTATTAGTTTAGTCAGTTATGTCTTTGTCATAATCTCATTGTCAGCTCACAGCTGTTTAGTTTGGTTCTGCTAACACTTGTTATTACTTCTAGCTTGGCGTTGATAATAAGACAATTGCTAGAAAGTAAAAGTTGTTTGATTCTCTGACAATATCTGCATCAGAGAGAGTTCAAGTCTTTTTCTATGACACACGACAGAGGCATGATCAGGTAATTTTAGAAGTTTTGCTATTTGTCTTGAGATCTTTTTCAGAGTCTTAATGTTTCAGTTTATTTGGAAACATTTCAAAATGTAACATGTTTAGTGAACACTCACTTATAATACGATAGATGGTTACTTGTATTACGAGAACTCTTACTTAATTAGTGTACAACATTATCTAAATTAATAATCAACATTAATTCGCTCTGGAGAAGATGAATCAAAATCAAATGAATATGTCTTTTGAATTCTCCCTTCTTAACATTACATACCAATGCAGTTTCTCTGATGCTGAGGAGCGCCACTGCAACGAACAACATCGAGGAAAGTGTTCTCATCACATGGAATCCATAGTCTTGATGAGTTATAAGCATCTTGAGCTTGATCAAGCAATGCTTTAAAGATTGGATGTGTAAGCAAACTCATCTTTATCACAAACCTCTTGTAATCATCACCAACATACACTACCAAATGTCCTCTTGGAACATCTTTAGGTATGACTTCATTTCCCTTCTTGAACCCCCAAGAAACCTTGTCGCAGCAACTCTCGCATGAAGATGTACAACAAGGTAGGACTATGGATTTGCTCTTCATGATTTTGAATTTGTGTTCGCACGATTTTATGAACTTGTTCTTCATTTTTGAGTATGAAGGAGATGTTTCGAATAAGAAAGATGAATAGAGATAGTTTTGTGATGAGAAGTACAATGGTGAAGTACATGTGTATATATAGATGATTGATTTACAGAGCTTAGATAGAAAAAAAATCTTAGGTCCATAGTGATATTAAATGTAATGTTTTTGAATAGGAGATGGGCAAGATTTTTTTATGTAATTGATAAGATACCTCACGAGGGCTTTGAATTATGATAATTGTTTGCCATTTTGTTTCACTCGTGCGGTTCCGTTATTTTCCCTCATAAAACTGAAATTGTACGAACAAGCATTGCATTATTACAATTGCAAATAAGAAATGTTTTTTTTTTTCATCTTCTATATTGTAACTGAATTCATGGGTGCTAAGACTTGTAAGACCCCACAAAAGAAAGAATTGAGAAAGAGAAGATAAGAGAAATGAAGAAGAGTGATGGGTTTTAAATCTTCTTGGACAAAGTGTGATCTCGATTTATGATTCATGGATTGTATGATTCTAATATTTACTCTTTGTTTTTGGTGATTTCTTGAAGATCAAGGCTCTAGTTGAAGTGACTTCTTGAATTAGCCTAAATTATCTATACAAATCCAATATTCATTTGATTAGATATAATCTCAGCATGTGGAGAAGAGTGATTATGATCAGTCTTATCTATTGCGTTTATGAATGGATATGTCATACAATGATAGTAATCTATCTATATTGGTCTGTTTTTTTCTCTAGAAATTGGGTAAAACGGTTATTATGCATGGATTGCAAGTGTAGACTGATAAAGAACTGTCAGCTTTTGCAGGGTCCAATATGATTGTGAAGCAAAACAAAACAGAGCAGAGCAACTATTCATTAGGATTCAGATTCATCTCCCCAAATAGCTGAGTATGAGAAGAGCAATCATTCTTTCTTACACATCACTTATGCAGATGAGCCTATGGTATGTTCTTATTTGTTTATCCCAATAGGTGTCAACTAGGACCTAATCTTTTAACCAAAAAAAAAAAAACTAGGACCTATTGTAAAATTAAGATCCTTTGATGTAGAACAAAAGAAAGGTTGAGTTTGTTTTAGGTTATGTCTAATTGGATATCAGATTTTTTTGGGGAGACGTTTTCTATTTGGTTTCAGATTTTTTATTTTGTCAACAACATGCATTATAGGAAATTGAATCTGGGTGGTGATACATCAGGGTCACTAATACAAACTAGTAACTACTATGCTTCATGTTGTGTGGTTATTTTGTTTCAGTCATTCAGATTTATTCTCTAGGTTTTCTTACCAAAATATCAAATGTTTTTATCATGATTTTGAAAACATTTCAATATTTGAGCCTGACAAACTAAACATATATCATCATCAACTAAGTATCAAAAAAATTTCATAGTTCCTTTCTATACTTTTCAAAAAATTTTAATTTTCGAATCTGTTGAAACGAGTCTTTGGACCAGACAGAACTGATGTATCATCAGAGACCCGGGACGGTTCAAGCTGGTTTGAGATAAGGAGGAGGGCCATTCTAAAAGTAGGCTGGCTTCGTCTGCATGAAATTTATTGTGGGAACGTGAGGCTTTTATGATGTTTGTCTTTTGAGTCTCATAATTCTTACAAACAAGCTCGTTCGATAACCAGGATTAATGATTTAAACCTTAACGAAATTACCATACTGGGATCATCCAGTAGAATCTGTCGATCGATTAGCGACTCTTCAAAACTGGTTTTAAGAAAAAGAAAAAAAAAATCTTAAAAACTATAGTTATTCTTTTTGAGGATCCAACCCATTTTGACTTTTATTCTTTTGGAAGAAATTCTTTTTTTTTTAAAGGGCCTAGATGAGGTAGCCATACCCTTATTACACCCACGATTATTTGATATGACTTTGCCATGTGTCTTGCTACAGTTACTAGCTGTCATTCTTTTTCCATTATTATATGATCAGTATTGAGTACCAAAAAATAAAAAAAAATTGGAAGCTCATTTTTGTATAAGAAATTAAGATACTATGATTTAAACTATAAACCGTGAAACATTTAGGTTTGAATTCGATAAGGATAACAAGACATTTTGCAATAGATAATCATTAGACTAAATGGTCTAGAGGATCAGTGATTTCGGCCAAATTCAAGAAAATACTTAGATAGTTAGATTAGATACAACAAAAACAATAATCATCTTTTCTTCTAATTATAATACTACACTATAAACTAGGTTGTTCAAAGAGTATGAATATCAGACAACGTAGTTACTCGCTAGCTTTTAAATCATTGCAAACATACCACAAAAGAGTTTAGAAAAGCTTCAAGGGTGCCGGGTACTTACTTCTCAAAAGTTTAAGAACCTTCCTGATAAAATTATTTGTGGTATTTTACGAAATAAAAAATAATAATAGGAGTTTATGATATCCCTCTTAAAAAATATTTTCAAATAAAATAGATTTTTTTTTGGACATCAAATAAACAGATCTAATTTAAAATGATACAACATTCCATTTTCCAACTAACTCTAGTTAAGTCTCGCCCATGCTTCATTTTGGGAGGCAGTAGTCACATTCTTCTTCTCACGGTTCTAATAATTATTTATTTTTGTGTAGCGGTGAACTCGCTGTGGTCGGACTATAGATTTAAAACAATGAGTTTGCGAAATTCAAGAAGACTCATAGAAACCAAATATTTGTGTTAATTCGAAACAATTAGATAAACATGTGTTTGAATTACTTACTATTAAAGATTCTTGTAATCATTTTTCTTATTATAGGTTCGCTTTTATATCGAAAGTTTTTGTAGAGTAGGTAATACTGTACATGAATTGTTTTTGGCTTTAACCATACCTCCTCGGTCATAAAAGATAAAAAGATGCATACATAACACTAGTAGGCCTGGACGTTCGGGTACCCATGATACACCAAACATATGACTTCTCATCAAAGATCATCTTTGAAATGTTAATCTTAAGGAAAGTTTTTTTGATGATGGAGAAATTTGACAATAAGATTAGAAAATTCATCAAATATTTGCAAGATTGAACAATTACTTATTGTTTTATCCTTTACGTCCGTGAACCCTTTCATCAAATATTTGCAAGATTGAACAATTACTTATTGTTTCATCCTTTACGTCCGTGAACCTTCTCTAGATAACTCCCAGTACATCTTTTACGCGGTCGATGAAAGTATCAACAAGGCGGAACCATGCTCGGCTCCATGGAGAATCAAAGCAGAGGAACACCAGAAACCCCATCAAAACCGTTACATAGGTCGCCCCAAGGCTCCACCACAAAACCACAATATCGACTAATCCGCTTTCATCGTCATCTTCATCTTCTTTTTCTGAGCTGATTGTGGTACCACCACCACAGCTTCTGTTGGTGGGTGATCCACAGAGAAGAACATTACCTAAGTAACTCTTCTCACCAAAGGTGTTGAACTGTTTTCCTTGCGGAATCACACCTGAGAGATCGTTGTAAGACACGTTAAAGACGACAAGAGATTGCAACATTGTGAGTTGTGAGGGAATGGTTCCATGCAACTTGTTGAAAGAAAGATCCAAACTTTCTATGCTTCTTAGATTGGAGAAGCTTCCAGGTATAGAACCCGATAATGAATTGCGTGAGAGATTCAGTGAGCGTACTCTCTTAAGATCTCCTAGCTCTTCTGGGATATTACCACTTAACTCGTTGCTTGACAGATCCAGGCCAAACATCTGGTTAAGAGTTCCTCTCATGTACAAGTCATATCTCTGTTTCACCGCAAATTCAACTTGGACATTAAAATCTACCGAGTAGTCTAGAGAAAACCGATCTGACACGATTAGGGACTTGTAATATACTTCAGTGTATATCTCCATAAAGTTAGAGAGCATGCTCGCCGGATACCAATCTGAATCAGCATGACTATGTCCTCCTGAGCCAAATGATAGATTGGTGAGACACGAAGGTATGGACTCATTCAATCTGTTGTGAGCAAAATCCAACATCCTTACGTTCCTTAAACCGCACAGCTCAACAGGGATCTTTCCTGTCAAGTTATTACCCCTCAACAGAACAACACTGATGCTCGGGGTGCTCCTGAACAGTGGTATGTTTCCAGACAGTTTGTTGTTTCTCAGATCAAGCAACCGGAGCCCGTCCCACAACGTGTCTGGAATAGATCCAGTGAGATTGTTGTTGTGCAAGTCCAATATATAACCGAAATCCGAGCTGGACCGCGGGGGTAAGCTACCCGATAAGTAGTTTCCAGAAAGGTCCAAGAGCCAGAGGCATGGAATGTTGAACAAAGAAGGTGGTATTGTACCTTGTAAACGGTTGTTTGAGATCCTCAGAACTTCCAAAAAGAATTTGCCTAACCATCTTGGAATTGTACCTGTGAGGAAATTGTTTGATAAGTCGATCACGCTCAACATCCTTAAGTTGAGTAGAGTGCGAGGGATCTTCCCTGTAAACATGTTATTGTCCATGATCAGCGTAATCAAAGAGGTCTCATCACTCGATTTCCGAATAATCGGGCCACTGAATCTGTTGTGCGAGAGCTTAAGCCAACTCAATGAATAACAACCTGTGAAAAGATTTCTTGGCAATTTCCCTGAGAAGTTGTTGTAAGATAGGTCCATAAATTCAATATTTTCCATCCTGGCCATAGAGGAGGGCATGTTCCCTTGAAACTCATTGTTTGAGAGATTCAAATGTCTCAAGCTCGTAAGTATCAAACCGACATCCTTAGGGAGTTGATTGTTAAAATTGTTCGCCGAAAGATCCAAAAACTGTAACTTGCGCATTGTTCTTGGAAGTGTAAGTGTTTTGTATGAGTTGTTCTGTAACAACAGGGCCTGAAGCTCTGTGTTATTTTCCAGAAGCCAAGTGGGGAACACTCCGGATAACATATTGTTGGAGAGATCGATGACCCGCAATTCCTTCTGATACCAAAGAAAACCAGGGATTTTTCCAAGGTTGCAGTGTGGCAATGAGATACTACTTAGCTGCGATTGCAGGCCACTGAAAATGTTAGTCTCTTCTACTTGCAGCATACCAGACCTGGAAGAGAGTTTAAAAACCTTGAGCTCTGCTAATTTGGTGATCAAACCCAACGAGAACAAGCCTTCAAATTCATTATCGAGTAGTGATAAGTATTCCATGGATTTGAAGTCACTGATGAAATATGGAATCTTCCCACTTAGGTGATTTGATGATAGATCAAGAACTTGGAGTTTGGAGAACCTCGAAAAACAGAGTGGGATTTCACCCACAAATCTGTTTCGACTAAGACGAAGCTCTTGCAACTGCTCCAATCTACAAATTCCTGCAGTGATGTATGCACAGAGAAACATCAAGGGATATAAAATCGAAACTGAGACGAGTTCCGCAACTAAAAAGGGGTATTTGTCATAACTTGCCTTGTTTTTGCAATGAACCAGAGAACTGATTATTGCTTAGATCCAAAGCTCTGAGGTTTCGCAGATTGGTGAGTTCTGAAACAAAGAAAGAGATGCACGATGGCTTATAAATAAATGAATACCCATTACATGTATCAAGATTGACGTAGAGACACTCAATTTGCAACAAATTTTTTTATAGATTATGTTACAACATCACATCGATTTTATCACAGAGTGTTAACGGAGGATCATAGTAACAAATACCTTGTGTTGGTAACTGGCCACTGAATTCGTTGAATTTTAGATCCAGTACTTCCAAACTTGTTAGATTTCTTAGTTCTGTGCCAAAAGTAAGAAATACCAGAAACAAAGTGAAAAGACTTTCAATGTCAATGACATCTATAGTATTGATTTGTTCTGGAGTACTACCTTGAACAGGAAAGCCACCCTTAAATAAGTTGTCACGGAGAATCAAAGTCTTGAGAGACACAGCCTCATTCAAGTATGGGAAGACACTGCTATCGTAAAAGTTGACACCGAGATCCAGAGTCTCAAGATTTCTGAAACTTCCCAGGCCCTTACCACCTATAGAAGTGGTAAAGTATTTTACATTATAAGGGGACTTGGATACAAGAACAAAAATGAAAACGAATATCCAGACCTTGTCTTTTGTCGAACCAGCCTTTGAAGTATCCGGACGACAAGTTGAGACTCTGAAGCTCCTCAAAGGGATGGAACAAAGTTAAATTCAGTAGAGGAAGAGCATCAGGGGAATGTATGGATTCTAAGGATAAGGAGATTCCGATCACGCGCTTGCTGGTGCTGTCGCACTTGATTCTTTTCCAATGACAACAAGAACGATCACTACTCATCCATCCTCGACGAATGTCTAAATGTGGATCAGTAATGACCGAGATCATATAGGCCTTGAGCTCTAACAAACCCTGCCTTTCACTTTCAATGCAGCTTCTACATCCCTGCAACAACATCATCATCATTATCATCCATGTTAGGCCAAAGACCACTGACTTCGAGGATGACATTATAAGTGCAAAGATCAAATGAGGAAACATAGAGAATGTAAGAATGATTCAAAGTCATTATATAGTTTAGACATCAAGGCATGTGATGCAATGTGCTAAGAAGAAGATGAAGTCAAAAGAGTGTCACAGCAGTTGATAACTATTGATTAATTAGATGACTTGTAATTAATCAATAGTTATCAATTTAAATATAAACATAAACATAAAACTATGCATAAAAAGTATTGAGATAGAAGAAGAACATGGTTATCCACAAATTAAGGAGTTGAAAAATACATCTCATTCCATTTAAAATCTCCTCATGTAGCTTAACTAAGCCGTTACCAAAATAAAATAAATCCCCATGAGCAATTAACAATGCTTCATTGTGAGCTTTAAGCAGCCCAACAAAGACCCAATGCGTTGATGATTACTTTCTCTACCAAATCATTTAGCCAAAGCAAATCCAGATGGTAGCTTTGTGGCTGTAGATAATTCTGTGGGAGAGACACTTGTCATCAACTTGTTTGGCCATCAACGCATGCTATTAGAAAGAACAATGAAATCATTGAATGAAAATTATGTAAATTGCTTGAAATTTTACTTTATGTAAGTTGTTACCATCCCATTGACTTTTAATTACACAAACAAATACTATAAAATGTTATTATTTAAAGAAAGGTGATCCACTATAAATGGTGGAAATTTCCTATTCGGGCAACTAACCAATTCTCCTCAGTGATTCTTATGTCGTCTTCACCACTTTAAACGGTGGAACTTTCCTATTTGGACGAGTGATTATTATTCTTTTGATTTTTGTATCATCGTCACAAGTCATAACAATAACAAACCAACACATCAATTAAAGGCTAATCAATCAATCTTTTGTTTTGTCTTTTCCTAGTGGAAAGCACGGAAAACAGTTGCAAGATTTCCCATTCCTAAACCTTACTTCTCAATTCTATAAAAAGGACAATACATTGCAAGAAGCAAAACAAAACAAAAATGCAAATTCAGACTAGGCATGTCTTGGTGGTGGTGGTGGTGGTAATGGTGGTTATGAGCTCTTTCACTGTGGAGGGAGGAGGGAGAGGGATATACACAAAAGATCAGAGGCTTCACCATGTTCAGAAGGACAGATCCGTCATTCCATCAGCAAGAGGAGTAGACAACCACCATAACATTCCAAGACAAAACTTTGACAATTGGGGTGGCAACGGAGGAGGAGGCAGTGGTGGAGACGATGGAACAGGTTAGAATCAGCAACACGAAAGACCAGATATGATTCGAGAGAAAGGAGCTCCTAAAACGTGTACTTGTGTGTATATGTAAAGACTGATGTGATGTGATGTAGTGGTTATTGGCCTATGTTTTGTGCTTTTTGTGATATATCCTAAGTATATATATGCTTTTGATAAGACTTGTGGTATGCATCATGTGATGAATGAATGGTATGTATTTTTTAACACTCATAAGAAGTGAATTCATAAACAGAAAGTATGGAAATTAGGTGTAGTTAAAATTAGTACCTTTATAGCTAGTTTTGGCCAAATTCTGGTGGAGTGGCTGCTTTGGATTATCAGTAAAGCTTCATCTGCTTCTTCCTTTAAGTGCTTCAGGGTCCAAAAGAATTATGAGTAACACAGCAAGGACGTTTTGATCTAATTGATAAAAGTATCAACAAAGCGGAACCACGCTCGGCACCACAGAGAATCAAAGCACAGAACACACAAACCCTTCAGGCTCTATTTCACATGGATCATCTTTGCTCTAGTTTTGTTCTTCGTTGCTTTATAGTTTAACTGTTTAAGAAAGCAAGACTGATGAAGTGGAATTCTAAGTTCTCTCACCAGAAAGGTATCAGTTTATAGGCAGTCCCATAAAAAGAAGCTGGGAGATCACAAATCTGAGATGCGTTTCACTTCTCCAGTCACAATGCTACCTTCCATTACAAAACCAAAGTTCATGCCATAAAATTTGATTATTCAAGTGAAGTAACCCACAAATGTACACAAGAAACGTTTTTGAGTTAAAGCAAGTTACTTTTGTCCCCAACATTAAAAAAAACACCAATCTTTTCCTTTAGTTTTTCTCAAGAATCTCTTCCATTAACATAACGTTGGCAGAAACTACAAGAGCTACTTGAAGATTAGTTGTTTCCCCTGAACTAACTAAAGCAAGTCATTGCTTTTAAAAGAAAGAAACATTCTTTTACCAATTTGTCTCTAACAAGTATAGATCATTGAGTCAACAATTTACTATGCAAATGCAGCAATAAGGACTTTTTCATTACCGGGAATAGCTTGAGTGATTCTGTCTATCAAGCACACCGATTCTTCCAATTCGAATCGCTTCTCCACCGAAGGAGAAGACGGTGGAGGAGCCCAGTGTTGTCATATCCAGAAGATTCTGTGCCGGAGATTCGAAAGAGGGAGAGACTGGAGAATCGATGAGACAATGGATATGAGATTGGTGAATCTGACCGAAATTAATTTAAACCGGGTCCTTTTTTTTACATTAATTTAAACCGGGTCCTTTCATACCAACAAGGCAACAAATGAAAAAGAAAAAGAAAAAAAAATCGTTAGAAATATTATTTAATTTTTTGTAATTTAGTTCTAAAACAAGTTAACAGAGGAAATTTTTTTAAAAAAAAAATACAATTCCTCCAAACATAAACATATAAATTTTGTCGTATATATATATATATATATATATATATTTTCGTATAAATTTATTCACAACATTCAAATGTATCTTACATTCCTTCCACACTAAAATTACATTAATTTCATATTAGGTCTCTAACCTAGATTTTTTTTTTTTTTTTTTTTTTTTCTAACCTAGATTCTACACCAGACCACTAAAACTCTTTTTCAAAATCGCTAATACTTTCATCCATTTGTTTTTTTTTTTTTTTTTTTGTTATAATAGAATCAATCAACATGGTTGCCGATATTTCAAAGTCGAATCTAAAGGCTAACGTTGATTACTTATTACGAAGATGAACATGTCGTTTAGTAGGAGTTCTCCGCAAACCTACCACATGTTTACTACTCAGAAACCAAAAAATATCTAAAGCAAAGCAATTTAGTTCTTCGACATCCTTCGTCCACTTATGAAGATCAAGCCCACACAATAACTTCCCGGCGGCAACACGCCGATCAAAAAATTAAATTTTATTTCACGTGTGTGTTATTTGTTTTTCAATCATCTGATCGTTGATTTGTTTCAGATATCTTTTAATTTGCTCTCCTTTATATTAGTGACTCAAATTATACACAACACATCTAACCCGCAGAATTATAAATGTTTGATCTGTCCATTCATTTCAACTAACTAGCGATCAAGACAACTTTTTTGACCAAAAGTAACCAAATGGATCATTTCGATTCAGACGTGGTCACGTGGGATTACAGTTTAAAAAATAACAACACAAAGAAAAAGATGGAACAAGAATTCTAAGTGTTGTTACTTCAATAGGGTCATGTATGAAGGAAGAGTACAATCGATTTTGATACGTGAACTTCAAAAAAGTGTGGTTTAATGAGCTGCCACGACGACCGGAAATTACCGTATGTGGGGTTCTGTCTGCGTAGACCGACCATTCACATTTTAGATGTTCACCAAAGATCTACCAATAAGTACATGAAAATTAAATTAAATGTTTGACTAAGAATAAAGAAAAACATTTATAATAGAGAACATCGGGTCCTAGTCCACCTCTGTATTTGTGGTCACATCTCTTAAAAATTACACACATGTGCAAGTTTGTAGTATGCTTCGAATTGATTATGCTATATTTATGTTTACAGCTCAAAACTTTGTTATGGTTTCCAGATATTTCTTTCTTAAAGTTAAAGATATAGTCAGAAATGTTAGCCTTATCCAATTTACATGTTTACATAAAGAAAATCAAAACTATATCTAGTATTTGTTTGTTAATCTCGAGTTAACTATGTTATTTTTCGCATCCAAATCTAGTTTTTATATCATCAAAACTCTAAATGGTGTAAACCATCGTTTTTTTACGTAATAATAAAGATGAAAAATAATTTCAGTAACTTTTTTGCCATCCGATCGATTTTGATATATATTTGTCTAATCAAATTTAGTTTTTGGACCAATATTGATTCAATGATTAGTTCGCTATTTTGTGAACTATTTAAGATTCATCAGTTCGCTATGTATTTCAACATGCACATAATCATAATTCAAGTCAAAATTTTAATAAATTACTAAACTTATACTTATTATAGATATAGATTAAGCGTACGTCTGAACTTAAGAGTTTTTTTCAATTTAAATAATAAAACCTTTGTTGTGAACTGTGTCTTTCATTAATAGTATAAGAGATATATATACAAGGATAATAGCAGGATACAGAGAATAAGGTAAAACCCTAATGGGCCATGGGCCGGTTATGGAGTCCATCCATATGGTTTATAACACTCCCCCTTGGAAGACATAACCGTGTCCGATACTAAACCGGGATCTCTATAATGCGCTGGTGAATGTTGCCTCATTAAAACCTTACCAGGAAAACCCAGTGGGACAAAACCATGGTGAAGGAAAAAGAGTACAACACGCATTACTCCCCCTGATTTGAGCATCACTGTAGATCCTTAAGTCCCCGCATCCCGATCTGATGAATGAGCTTCCGGAACGTTGAAGTCGGCAATGATTTGGTGAATAGGTCGGCTGAATTCTCACTTGACCAGATCTGTTGAACTTTGACCTGACCGTCCTTCTGTAATTCATGAGTGAATAAGAGCTTTGGCAAAATGTGCTTCGTCCGGTCTCTCTTAGTGTAGTCATCCTTGAGTTGAGCAATACAGGCTGCGTTGTCTTCAAATATGATGATCTTTGATGTAGTAGTAGATGCGCCTTAAGGAAGGCTGCCTACGTACCCTTGGAAGGGATCAAGCCACACATAGTTCCTATTCATTGACCATACCATAATCTGATCTCAGAGTTTCATCGATATTTTTTTGGTGTTCAGTGTACCCTGAGTACAAGATCGATCCTGCATTAGTAAATCAAACTAAACCAAAGCAAACTGGTCTTTCTTTGGTTAGATCAGTATAGAATAAACCCAAGTAAACAACGCAGGAAGAATAGACTTTAAATTTTAACCAAACCTTCCTTTAAACCTTTCCAGTGCCTTTGAGTTGATCATGAACTAAATTTAGACAGGAAACTCACGGCAAAACAAATGTTTGGTCTAGTGTGTCTAGCCAAATTCATTAGAACTCCTATGGCACTGAGGTATGGCATTTCCGGACTGAATGGATCACTACAATCTGAGGCTTCTCACCACCATTGGGCCTGGTCAATGGGCGGGCCTGGTCCTTATTAAATCCCCTTGAGTACTCTTTCAGTGTATGCCATTTGATGCACAAGGATTCTATTATTCACGTACTCAGGTTGTAATCCCAAACAGAACTTAATTATTGCCTAGGTCTTTCATTTCAGATTCTTTCTTTAGATATACTCAACTGTTTGGTCGATTACCCAGAGGTTTAAATCATTCATATACACTGCTATGATTACAAATCCTTTGTTTGCAAACTTCTTGATAAAAATACATAGACTGATCGGATCGTTTTTATAGCCTTCTCTGATGAGATATTCGCTTAACCGGTTATACCACATACGTCCGCTTTGTTTCAGTCCATATAAGGATTTGTCCAGCCTTATGCAGTGCTATTCTCGAGAATCTTTCTTATCTTTGAGCTCAATACCCTCTGGTAATCTCATATATTATCCAGTGGACTTATATAAATATGCATGCATTACATCCATTAGCCGCAAATCTTTCTCTTTTATATAGCCAGACTTAGCAAAAATTTAAATGTCTTAGCATCCACCGCAGGGGAGTATATCTCCTCTATTTCTGGTCTTTGTGTGAATCCTTGTGCGACAAGCCGTGTTTGATATATTACGCTTTCACTATGTTTATTTCACACAATCACAAAGACTCATTTGTCCCACTGGCTTTACATTGAATGGTGTCCTTTGTATTGGACCAAACACATTCTTCTTCTTAATGATTCTTAGCTCCACGTTTTATGGTCTTGTACCATTTTAATCAATCAGGTCTTTGAGTGCACTCTAGTATAGACGTGGGCTCCTGATCCTCATTCATTTCAGTTGCTACCTTGTGCGCAAATATATTATCATTGATGTCGACATCTTTTCGGTTCCATTGTATTCTAGACATGATATAGTTTATAGAGATCTCTTTACACCTTCAGGACCTTGAGGTTTGGCGTCCCAAACCTCATTGATTGGTACCTTAGGGTTATGTCTATTAGCCGGCCATGTCTATGGTTTCTTGAACCTTCTCGGTTTCCCTTGCACCTTTCTTTGATTTCCGAGGGTTCTTGTCTTTGGAACCTTTTGGGTCTACCACGTTTCTTACGTGTTGTAGCCTCTGTAGCAACTTGATTGTGTTCCTTGTGAACATCAATACGTACTGGTGCATTACAAGCTGGTATGTACGATTTTGTTACTCTCTTTGGGTCATTATAGGAATCTTGGCAACTGTTTTAGCTAGCTTTTGCAGATATATAGTCTTTTGGATCTCTGATGGAGTCCGAGGATCTTGCCATGTGAAGGATGTTTGATTCTATGTAAGTTCTTTGACCAGCTTGTTAGTCTCTCCACCCAGTGTTGGGAAAACGGATTCATTGAGATGACAATCCTTGAATCTGGCCTTTGGCTCGAGATACTTAATGATGGTGGGAGAATCATTGTTAACGTATATTCCCATCCCCTTTTGAGGTCCCATCATTTGCTCTCTGTGGTGGTGCAATGGGTACATAGACTGAACACCCAAATGTCTTAAGATGGGAAACGTCTGGCTCATGACCCGTTAGCAATTGGGATGGGGAATATCTATGCTCACTAGAATGGCCTGATGCGTATAAGCTCTTGTTGCATGTAATATTGTGTGTCCCCAAGCAGCTACTGTCAGTTCAAGTATGGACATGTGCCACGGGGTATACTACTCTCCCCCTCATGGACATACTGTAGCCATAAAATGCTTGAGACATAATTTACCAGCATTATCTAGATATATAGTCTTAAGTATGTGGGCTCACAGATTTATGGTCTGGGCCAACAATCTAGCAAACACCAAGTTTCTAGTTGCTTTGACTGGTGTTGACCTTAGTATGGGTTTCCCTTGTGTACATGCTGCACACGTGAGGTCCTTAAGGAGTGTGCCCTTTTGATTTTAATATCACCTTTACGCATCATGTTAGAACCAGGTTGGCCAAGCCGGTCATGCCATTAGTGAATTTCTCAGTAAACCCTTTTGTTTACTGTATTAGCCTCTATCATATTGACCTTGGCATAGTAAAGGTCTATGACGCGGGTATAGTCTCTAAGACCTTCTCATGGTCTTGGGTGCTCTTAGTAATATATGGGAATCCTTTGTTCCCTTCACCCTTAGTTTCAATGTGGAAACTATTCAAAAACTTTTCTTTGAAACTCAACAAGGCCCCTTTGAGCTGGGTGAATATGAAGCATCTGAGGATGCGTGCCCTTGGGAATATGGGCCTGCCATGGGCCTGCCCTTAGCCTTCACTAAATTTAGCTATACCCGCAATTTGGCTAATCAACCATGTCTTTGGATATTTTGTTGGCATTCCGAAGTCTCATAGTCATCTATCTCATGGTCGAAATCTTCTTCACCATTGTGATGAAATGAGCTTCTAGATTCTTTTCAAACTCTCTTGATAGAGATCAATGAGATGCTTAGGAGTCATGCACGTCTTAGTCCAATGGTTTCCCCATTCCTCATCAGTGGCAAACAAGTTTATTTGAGTGTTGTGGTTTGGGTATACCACGGCCTCTAACTCGATTACGACCAAAGTCAGGTCGGCGGCCTTAACCATATGAATGGTTTCCTTGATCATATAAATTATAATTGCCACTTCTACCATGGCCATTCCATTTACCATGACTGTGGCCATGATACTTATCTCTTTGGACGTGGTTAGACTCTTTAGTCTCTTTAGGCTCTTTAGGCTCTTCAGCCCAATGGGCTTCTGATAATGGGGTAGGACCAGGAGGTCTCATTTCACTATTCATAACTCATTGTTTTGCTCAGCAAGTATCATATCAGAATCAATGTTCTCATCAAGGTTTCTCCAAAGCCTCACTCCTTAGCACTCTCTACAGAGGAGTCCTCCCCAAAAACGAGAGTTTAGACTTGCATATGTGGTAAAAACCTTTTTCACGATATTGTTGCTGAGGCAATATATTGTTTGTGTGAAAGGTCGAGAATGCTTTCTCTAGCAAGTCATTCTCAGTAACTTCCTCACCACGGAATCTCAGTATTGACACTATTTTAAATAGTGCTGAGTTATACTCATTCATGGATTTGAATTCCTGGAATCTGAGATTCTCCCGATCGAATCGGGCTTTTGGGTAATAGCACCGTTCTTTGGTGGTTATATTGAATTTTTTTTTTTTTTTTTGTTTTTTTTTTTTTTTTTTTTTTGTTTTCAACTCTGTCCTGAGGTCCATATGATTCTTAATAGTGAGGTACTGATTTTGAGACTCTCATTGAGGTGATGGCGTATGTCAGTAATCGCCTTATATCTTTCTCTTCTGGTGACATTGTTTCCTTCCACAATAGATTCACCAAGTCCTTTTTCCTTTAGGACAATCTCAGTGTCCAAAACCCATTGTAAATAATTGTCACTAGAGGCATTGAGTGCCGTGTATTCATAATAGTTGATTTCTGATATTTATAATATATAGAGTTAAATGAGAACTCATGTAATCGGTTAGACCAAGTCATGCGGTATTTAAGACCGAGCCATGCTTGTCTTCAGCAAGTGTTTTCTAAACAATCATGTTATATATATATATATGGATGAAATCAACCCTAGAAGATTGATCTAGTATGCAACAACCAAACAATCGGATCATACTAGATTAGGATATTAGGATTTCGCGGTTAAGTTTTAGGGTTTTAGCATCCGCGATTTATAGTACTAGGGTTTTTGCTAGGATTTCGGTTTTATGTATGGAACTTTCTATTTATGGAAACTTTCCTTATATGGAACTTTCCTTTTATGGAAAATTTCTATTTCTCATCTAGAAAGAAATCCTAAACAATTATGTACTTTAGGGTTTTGGAATATTTCCTTATGAAGGGGTTTCCTATTTTGGTAACTTTCCATTTTGGGAAACTTGCTATTTTAGGAAACCTTTTATTTTGGGAAACTTGCTATTTTACGAAACTTTCTATTTCTGTAAACTTTCTTTATATGGAACTTTCTATTTCTGGAAACTTTCCATTTATAGGAAGCTTGATCTTAAACCGTGACTTAGGGTTTATTAAACCGGTTTAACCTAGGATTTAGGGTTTCGGTTTACTTTCGGTTTAACCTAGGGTTTATATTAAAACATTCAATCTATCATGCTATTAAACATCTTTCCATTCACTAACTTCTCAATTAATTCTCCAATCATAAATCAAATCACATGTGCCAATTTTCATGCAAATTTTATCTTATCAAACTTTAATTGGATTATGTATATAAAGCATAATAAATAAATAGCACTTATCTTAATTGGAGAAGTGAAACAGAGACCCGAGATCTGATACGGAGATTGGAAACAGTTATGTCTCTCAATATATATAATCCTGATTCCTGAGAAACTCAGAATTTTGCTCATGGAAAAATGGCTATTACATTAGTAAAAGAAAATAGGGTTTCTGTAATATACTGCATAAAACAGTTCAGAATCAATAACATATAATCCGTGCATAAATCGTACAAAAATATAGACAGGATTGATAATAAATAATCCGTGCAAAATTTGTGCAAATCTACAGACAGAATTGACAACAGATAATCTGTGCAAAATTCGTGCAGAAATACATACAAAATTGATAACATATAGTCCGTGCAAAATTCGTGCAAAACTACAAACAGAATTGACAACAGATAATCTGTGCAAAATTCGTGCAGAAATACAGACAAAATTGATAACATATAATCCGTGCAAATTCGTGCAAAACTACAGACAGAATAGATAACAGATCATCTGTGCAAAATTCGTGCAGAAATACAAATATGAACAGAAAACTTATCTCGATAGAGTTTAGAATTTTGTTTGCAGAGACGGCTAGGGTTTTAGTTTTGGTTTTTGTGAGAGAGATTTAGGGTTTCGGGATTTTTAACTTTTAGGGTGAAAGGCTATCGTGCTGATAACGTGTTGTGAACTGTGTCTTTCATTAATAGTATAAGAGATATATATACAAGGATAATAGCAGGATACAGAGAATAAGGTAAAACCCTAATGGGCCATGGGCCGGTTATGGAGTCCATCCATATGGTTTATAACAACCTTACTGAATTAGCCAAATATGTATACTCTATATCTATATATATACAATCGTTCTTAATTAACCGTACCCACGCTATACTCTATCTATATACAATCTATCATTACATATTTCTATATAGCAAAAAAAAAAACACACAATTTTATTTTACTACAGCTTCACTTAATCTACAAGATCTTTAATTTGAAAAAACTTAAAACACTTAATTAACCCAAAACAAAACCTCAGAACATATATCACATTAATATTCTTCTAGAATGCGTAATATTACATATATATATAAATATTGGTGTTACATATATACTCATAGAAAACAAGAAAATATGTCACATATCAATCATTTATTGTTCCAAAGCAAGTGACCCTCTTTCTAATTCATAGGCTTATCTCTCTCCATATATTGTCTAAACTCTCCCTCTTTCTCCATCTTCTCACATTTCTACTACAAATATTTCAGAAGCAGGAACCACAACAAAGCTCTCTACTTTTCAACGAAGTATACAAAATTTTGTCCTTGTAGTGTTGGAACCATAAAGTAATGGGAGAAGAAAACAGCACGAGCGGGACATGCAAGCCGTCCAAGACGTTCAAGGCGAAGTGTAGCCACATGGTGAAGAAACAGCGAGCCAAGTTTTACATCCTTGGCCGTTGTATCGCCATGTTAGTCTGCGGGCGTGGCCGTGACCGCGAGCGCGACCGTATTTTGATTTAGATCTTTACCTTATGTTTTGTTTCTCTTATTGTATTTTTCCTAACTTTTTTGGGTTGGGTTGCCGTTTTCATTTTTCCCTCTAGTATCAAACATTTGAAGTAGGGTTGATATGTAAGTTATATACACATGAATATATGAAATTGATGTGAATGCATTCTTGAAATGCTTAGTTAATTTGAGATTTATCTCTCTCTTTTGAAAGTTAATTAGAATGGTATTTTCTTAATAAGTTTTAGTTGTTCAAGTACTAACCTCTTCTTTTTGTAAACCATTGGCCCTGGAATGATCTTCAATTTTTTTACTTGGAGTATATAGGTTATACAAAACTTTATTGTAAATTCAGAAATATTCAGACATGCATTGAGCCTTCAAATGCTCGTTATCGTTAATCATATGAATAATATAACAGCAAAACATCTCATTGGCCCATAAAGATTTAAAGAATAATCACAAAAACTTTGAAAACTAACTCTGGTGATGAATAATAATTTGTTTGCCAGTTATTTTATTTGGCAGCATCTGTTTACCAGTTACATATATACAGTACAGATATCATGTAATGAACTTATATCTTGAAAACATTATAGATATTGAGGTCAGAGATCGAATCTCATCCACTGTAGTTTCATGTTAGGCACTGCACAGTTAAAGTGACAAAAAAAAAATCAGCTTGCTATAAACCTTAATTAGTATAAGTTTAGATTTCAGATTATAAGCAAAACAAAACAAAACGAAAAACACGATAGATGTCGATAGACAAAAGACTCTTTTTTGAGAGTGAATCGTTCATTAAATTAGTGTAACGATACCAGCGAAAAGATGAGAGAAAAAGGTGGAGAAGATAGAATGTAATTATGACAAAAGTCTACGGCCTGAGAGTCCATGCATGTGAGTATATGACTCGAGTCCAATTCATACTAATGCAAATCGAAACTATGCACTATTTTCATTACTAGTTATTTTGTCGGTTTAGGGAGGGCGATATGTTTAATTGTGTAGTAGATAAAAATTTGAATATGAAGACGAGAACCAACATCGTCTTCCATTCGATTCATAAACTATTCAAATCCATATATTAAAAAGAAAAGGAAAAGAATAATAGATTGTGTAATTCAAGATCCGTACCATGAAGAAAACAAGTGAAAATAATAGTAATCCTAGACTAACGTGCCCATTGTAGAAGCTTTTTCTTATTCATATTAAATATTATTTTAGTTCATGAGAAATATATATATCATCAATAACTTGCCCTAATTTTTTACATTATGTAATATGCGGATTTAAATTCAAATGGTGACACGATAACGGCAATAACACAAACTATTAAGCATATATTCTATTTGATAATAGCGGTTTGCTTTTTCTTCCATTAGGTACTTATAAAGTTGAACATGATCGTCCTTGATAATTTACTACTAAAATGTAGATTATAGAAAATTAAAAATTGCGATGGCCTAAAGGGTACAGTATATTATATTGTAATGCATATAATCGGATCTTTATTACGTAGAAAATTTTGTAACAACTATGTTTAATTTTGACCAGTGAATGCAGTCAGTGTTACCACTATATTGGATTCTTAATTGTTATAAAATACGACCCATGCAACAACACTAATAAACTATGTGAAAAGAATCCGAAGCGAAAAATAAAAAACAAACTAAAACGTCTAACATCACGTGCATGCTCTTGCTCCAAGTCTCGAACATTTCCGACACGCCGCAACCGCTGATTAAGAAGACGATTAATCATTAGAATAAAATTATAGATACTTGTCTGATACTCGTAGGAAATTGAAAACGTATTTGATTGTTCGTATTTGAGCGTTATAGTGAACCTTAATATCTAGGTCCGATTTGAATAATTGAATATATATAGTACATATGTTGAAACCAAATGTAGGTGAAAAACTATGAGCCGACAATGGGAATCGTCGAGGCGAAAAAGGTGTGCAGATGCACTCGTGCGGTCCCTCCCGTTACTATTATTCATCGTTTTCCCACTACTGTTTGATTTATTACGTACTACAGAACTCATCAGAACATTATTTTCTCAAGTAAAAAGATCAAGTTTTGTTTCTATATATTATTTATAAATGATGATGGGATAAATGAGAAACGTGACTTTCAACCTTTATTCATAAAGGAAACTTGATTTGTATAAGTAAAAGTCAGCATCATTGACGAAAGAGATGGGGAAAAACATGGTTGGTCTCATAATTATTGTCCCGATAAGATTTTAAGGAATTCTTTAACTCTGCTATTCAGCGCCGGGTCGAGCATTTGATAGGCTCCGGGGCAAAATAAAAAACAGGACCCCTATTATATTAAAAAAAAACGTTTCGAGAAAAAAAAAAACCAACGTCTACAAAAAGAAAGAAATAAGATTATTTTGGAGAATCAATATGATTATCTGAATGCCAAATGAACAATGTAAACCTGAAAAATATTAGTGACCAGTTGTTAGTGATTAGTGAGTTTCAATTTAAGAATATGAAATATTAGTTTAGAAAAAAACAGAACGAAACTCAAACAGAACATGAAAACTTACATAAATAGATTACAGATCTAGAGAACTTGAACTGAATTGACTATTGTATAAAATCGAAAACAAAATCATTCATTGTTGTGTGTTGATCCATGATTTTGCTTGGAAAGAGACTCGAGAGACAGACTCAGAGATGTGGTGGGGTGGGAAGGTGAAAAGTTTTGTAGAATAATTTTTGATGTGTATTAAATCCTTTTTTTGTAACAGAAAGAAAAAAAGAATTAGTCATAGCCCAATAAATTAATTAAAAATTTAGAATAGTTGGGTTAAAGAAAATTAAGATCCAATTTTGGCCCAGTAAAAAGAAAGAAAAAACTTGTCGTTATGTTTAAAAAAATCACAAAAATTATGGGCCCTTTTGATTTGAAAAAATAATTCCTACAGCAGATTTTTTTTTTTTCTGTTAATGTTTACAAACAAAAAAAATTGTAGGCCCCCTTGATGTGTGGGCCCCTGGTGGTTGCACTGCCCTCCTAGCTAAACCGGCACTGCTGCTATTTTATTGTGTTGTATTCCACTAACTGTGAATCGGTAGAGAGTTTTGTTGTTTTGCTTCTTATTCCTTTGGACGTTACTACGAAAATAGGGAGAAAAGAGGAAGATAGATACGACAGAGTTTTGGTGTTTTGCAATTCATATCACATTACTTACATATTACATACTTTTTTTTTTTTTTTTTCATATTACATACTTAGGGAGAAAAGGAAAAGATCTAGGTGTCTATTATTAGTTTGTAATAGTAGATTTTGAAAAAAGAAAAATAAATAGATTGAATTCTTATACAGTTTAATTACACTGCTTTTTATTCTATAATTAATGTTACATACAAAATAAACACAAAGAATTTTCGATTCTATTATTCTTTCCAGGGCCGGTCCGGTATATCTATATGTCCTACACCATTAAAAAAAATCATGCCCCTTGTAAAAAAAAAATTCCTACCATCACAAATAAGATTAATATAAATCAAACTAAAACTAAAAAAAACAGTCATTAACTTCAAACTTAGTCACTTATGTATTTACTTGATTAATCAAATCAAAGCAAAATTCACATACCTTAAAAAGCTTGCTAGCAGTGAAGCACACAAAAGAAAATATATGAATCGAATCAATGAAAAGATAAATTTTTGTAAAACATTAGGGTTTTATTTTCTTTTTAAGCCAAAATTTTACTACTAATAAAATTCATTAACAACACACTAACTAATTTTTATTAATTTAAAGGCATAAAACCCACAAAATATAATGAAAGAAAAGTCTAACAAAATTGTTTTTCAAAAAAATTTATAATTTTTTATGTTTTTAACATAAAACACCTAAAAATGTTTTAAGAAAATATGTCCATTTAATATGATGCCCTAAGCGGTGGCTTCACTTGATTGTGTCATCCGCCGGGCCTGATTCTTTCTAATAAGTAAATCATTGTCACATTGGTCACAATGTCACATGGTAATGTTTGGGATTAATTTTAGACTTTAGCCTTAACAATTTTAAAATAATAACAGAGAAGATCATTAGATTGCAAAAGCCGATTGGACGCAAACCAAAAAAAAAAAGCTAAGAAAAGGGATTTGGGACCCGTTGGGGTTGGAAAGGAGGAGAGAACACGTGCATCTCTCTGACACACGTTGAAACCCAAACACTTGCCTCCATTTTCTTCTTTCCAATTTTTGTTTTTGTAATCTCACGACTATTTCCATCAATTTATCATATTCAACACAGTATAATGCCAATATCTTCACTAGTTATACATTCATTATTGTATAGTATATTGTATTCCATTAATTAAGTTATGTATAATTTGTATCTGTTAGTGTTACTTATCCAATTAGATGACATAATTAGGTTTTCTAACAATATATACATCCAAAAAATAATAATAAACATAAAGTTTTTGTGCTCGCGTGTGATCAGTTTATGAGCTAGACCCCCCACGAGGTGATGTCTTTTTGTAGCAGTCTTTGTAGACTTCCCACGTGCGGCTTGTGTTCATTTTCTCCAAGAGAGCGGGCCAAGTCCAACCCCCAACCCAAGACCGTCCTCTCCTCTTTCGTGTGACACATGCATATTTTTCTCTATAAAATTTTCACAATGAATAAAATATTACCATTTTGAAAAAAAAATTCTGCCATGTTTCTTAATTCTCCAGTCAAACCCTATATGTCAATATATCGGAACATGCGAGCTTACTTGATTTTCTACATAGACTCTTATAGACTTTATTTTGAATAGAAAACAAGATTTGGGATTTTACCGTGACGTGGTCATTTGAGCGTTAAGATTAACAATCATTATAGATGATGAAATGATCGTGCATTTTTCACTTAAAGGTAATTTATTGCGTCGATTTTAGGCCTAGCATTATATACTAATATATAGGACATATTATACTCTAGCTATATGATCAATGGTCCTTCTGACAAGGATCGTGATTGTGCGATCATCTCACTAATAAGTTTGTTTCTTGTGTAGTGAGTGATGTGGTGCATACTTTACTGTGATGGTGACTTATCTTGCGGTAAAGAATCTACATGCACGAGATCACATACATGGTTAATTAGAAAAGTCCAAAACATCAAACTTTAACAAAGAAAGAAAGTATTTATGTACGTATATAATCTTATAATTACAAAACTGTTGTGTGATAGTGATACAATCACGAAGAATGAGAAAGGAAGTGTATATATATTCTCAATCTTTTCTCTCAGTTTCCACAATTTGTTCTATCTGTATGTAAAATTCATAAAAGTTTATCATGAAGATTTTAAAAATTAATATTTGAAAGAATCAAAAGAGTCCAAATCTCATTAAATCATGGAAGAAAAATGAGATGTGATCGAGAGATGAGCAACAAACTCGTGATGTCGTCTGCTAAAATGGACCAACCTGACAAAAACCTGCCGAGACGATAAGGCCTGCTCGTTTTCACTTAATTACTGATGTAGTAAATTACCACTTCGTCACAAAAAGAAAAAAAAAAGAAAGTTTTTTCATTTTTGTGAAAGAGACTTTAAGCTACAAAATGCAAAACTTAACATATACGAAATCTTGAGCAATTTTCAATTCGACTCTTCACAAATATTTACCTCGTCTCTATTTTTCTTAAAATCTTCACAAATTGATACATAACAGATACAGGCCTCGAGTCCATAGCGGCCCAACTAAAATATACAACCATGTATCCATAGAGGCCAAACTAAATATACAACCATGATTACAATTACAGTGCAGAATTTTTAGGAGTCTCAACGAAAATTGGAGATTTGCAGCTTTGTGCTTGGATGGATTAGAAATTTAGAACCACGATTTTAGATGTCCATAGGGTTAATGCCAAAGTCTATTAACTTGAAAATCTCATTTCTCTAGATTTATTTCATCACACTTGTACTAGATTCATTTAGAGTCTCAACCCAACTATTATGTACAAAAGACTTATAAATAAAACACAACAAAGACCATCAAAAGTTTTTCAAGCAGAACAAAGTAAAAGACTAAAGACAGTAGTCACAGGGTCTGATCAGATCTTTCAGCTGTAGAGATCATCATCGTCGGCTGCTCCTCCGGATGTGGCAAACGGGTCGACTCCCCCGACTGTGGCAGCAGCTCCAGTCCCTGTCGGCGCATCTGGGAACCTGAACTCGCTTCCAAACCCACGTGATTGCTGTAGAGTCTGAGCAAAAGCCTGATACTTGCGAATGTCTGCATCACTTACTGATCTCCTTGCATATTTCATGGATTCCTCAAAGTGACCAGCTTTAATCTCTGCAATCTCCTCCTCGTCCTCTTCCATTGCTTCTGGCGACTCTGCTCTCTTCCTCTCCTTCTCAATATCCTAACAAAACATGAAATCAAAAGAGCTTAAGACTCAATAACATATATAAAACAAAGGAACTGTGATTCTAGTTTCAGATTCATATACCTTCTCGATGTTTTCTCTGATCGCATACTTGCAAGAACGCTGGCAAATCTCTGTGATGTCTGCACCGCTGAAGCCTTGGGTGTACTTCGCAAGAGCCCTCAGGTCAACATCTTTAGCTACAGGCGATTTCCTCAGGCAAGACTTGAAGATCTGGTAACGAGACTCCTCATCAGGAAGAGGAATGTAGATGAGCTGATCGAGACGACCAGGACGCAGAAGTGCAGGGTCGATGATGTCTGGTCTGTTTGTAGCTCCGATGATGAAGACCGTCTTCTTAGCATTCATTCCATCCATCTCCGTAAGAAGCTGGTTCAATACTCTATCTGCTGCACCACCAGCATCTCCGACACTGTTCCCTCTCTGTTATTAGTTATTACAAGAGATGTTCATTAATTTTTCTGAGATAAAGGTAAAGGGCATAAGCTGCCTAAGTAGAGAGATCAAGAAACCAAGTACAATACCTGAGTGGCAATGGAGTCAAGCTCATCAAAGAAAAGAACACAAGGAGCAGACTGGCGTGCCTTGTCGAATATCTCTCTCACATTGGCTTCACTCTCACCAAACCACATTGTGAGGAGCTCAGGACCTTTGATACTAATGAAGTTGGCTTGACACTCGTTCGCAATAGCCTTAGCCAAGAGAGTCTTTCCACAACCAGGGGGACCATAGAATAGGACTCCTTTAGACGGTGACATCCCAAACTTCTCGAATTTCTCAGGATGCTCCACTGGATATTGAACAGTCTAAAACAGCACAATGTTAACAGATTAGTTCATATTCATGGGTCAATAATTGAAAAAGATGTCAAATTGTTGAAAATCTTAATTTACCTCTTGGAGCTCCCTCTTGACATTCTCAAGACCACCAATGTCCTCCCAAGAAACATTAGGCACCTCAACGACCTGGTTAAAAGAGAAAATAACAGTTTAATAAAAAATGGTACCAAATAGAATTAGAAACCGCAAACCAAAAAATCGATCTCTTGAACTCACCGTCTCACGTAGAGCTGAAGGATTGCTGTTACCAAGGGCAGTCTGGAAATGATCATTAGTCACAGCCATAGAATTGAGAATTTCAGCATCTATCTCCTCGTCATCTAGGTCAATTACGTCCATCTTCTCCCTAATGCATTGGAGAGCAGCTTCAGTGCATAATGCTGCAAGATCAGCACCAACATAACCATGGGTGTCTTTGGATACTCTTTCCAAATCAACCTGAATAGGAGAAAATCATGTCAGATCTGACAAATAGAGAAAGGCAAAAGAAAAGAAGAAAATAATTACAGTATATGCAACGGAACATTACATCTTCCGCAAGCTTCATGTTCTTGGTGTGAATCCTGAGAACTTCAAGACGACCAATCTCATCAGGAACACCAATATCAATCTCTCTGTCAAATCGTCCAAACCTTCTCAAAGCGGGGTCAATGCTGTTGGGACGGTTGGTCGCTCCCATAACAATGACATGGGCTCTGGATTTAAGCCCATCCATAAGTGTCAAGAGCTGGGATACAATACGTCTTTCAACTTCCCCGTGTGTCTTTTCTCTTTTTGGAGCAATCGAATCGAGCTCATCAATAAAGATGATTGAGGGGGCATTCTTCTCAGCTTCCTCAAACGCTTTCCTGAGGTTGCTTTCACTCTCACCAGCTAGCTTCGACATGATCTCGGGACCATTGATACAGAAGAAAAATGCACCGGTCTCATTAGCAACAGCACGGGCAATCAGTGTCTTTCCAGAACCAGGGGGACCATATAGCAAGATTCCTTTGGGAGGTTTCACACCAATGGACTTGAAGAGTTGTGGATGCCTCAATGGGAGCTCAACAAGTTCCCGAATCTGAGCCATTTGCTTCCTGACACCACCAACATCATCATACCCAACTTCATCCAACCTCTCCTCATCCTCTCTCTTTATCGGTTCACCCTCACAGAAAATTTCTGTATCTGGAGCAACAACACAGTACTCAGCAGGATCGGTCTCAATAACCTTAAACTCAATACTTCTCATCCCTCCTCTAACCAAGAAAAGATCACCCTTCCTCACCGGACGGTATGCCTCCAAGAAATAAGCTGGCAAGATACAAAAAAACAACAGACATTAAACTGCTGTGATGACACAGAACACATCAACAAGTACATAAGCAGAGCACAACTTAGATGAACACATCATCTAAAGATAAAAACAGGGCAGAGAAAACGCTTACGTTTAAGGTACGCATCAAATATATTGCCACTAACTCCTTCAATGGTATCATCGATAGGCAATATGTGAACACGCTTCCCATACTTGACATCAGGGCATTGATGAACAGAGATAACATCTCCAAGCCTAACCCTGAGGTTAGACCTAACAACCTTGTTCATCCTAATTTTTGGTTCATCACAAGTATCATCAGCTAAAGCAATACACACAGTATCCTTCCTCTTCTTTCCCTGTAGCCACAATTTCCAAAAAAAAAAAAAGGAGAGAAAACGAACATGTCAACTACACACAACTCAAAGAAACATTCATTCCCAAAACAAAAGCATGAAATCGAAAGACCCGAGTTTTCTGATAAACCCTAGCATCCCCGTAGAACCCAGAAGCAGCCAAAACACTGAACAATCAAAAACCCTTATAAACCCTGAATTACGCTAATTCATCAAAGGAAACAAGAGAAGAAGAGCCAAAATTGTCAAAATCAAACCTTAATCAAAACGGTATCACCACGAAAAAGCTGTAGCTTCTCCATGGTTTCAGGGTGAAGAGAAACGACAGAGTTATCATCGTTAATCGCCTCATCCACAACCAAACGATTCGCCGCCTTCTTTCTCTCCAGAATTGCGGTGCTAAAATCCCTCTTCGTCCCCTTCCTGAGATATTCAGAGAAAAAAAAAATCGAATAAGAAAAACCCCAACACGAAGAATCAACAAAATCTCAAAGAGCTACTGATTAATCAACAAGTACTTACGAGTCGGATGATTCAGCTTGATTCGCCATGTTTGATATTATAGAGAGAGCTTCGCAGAGAGAAGAAGAAGAAGAAGAAGAAGAAGAAGAAGAAGAAGATTCGAGAAGTGTGATCGTTTCGGTTTTCTATGAGAAAATAAAGGGTCAGGTGTCTGTTTATACAACAAGACAAATCCGTGTCTTGTTATCAAAGAAAAGTTATTTTATTTTATTTTTGTTTTCCATTTGTTTTTGGTATTTCCTTTTTTTTTTTTTAACAGCGTATTTCCTTTTTTTTCTTTTGGCGTTATTTAGGGGGTGTTATTCAATGGTGGAGTTAAAATCAATTATTTAAGGTTTAGATTTACTTTCTGATATTGGTTTTAAGAATCTGTTTGTGTGGATTTCAAAATCTCTACAATATATCTTGGATTTGGATTCTAATAATTTACTCATGAAACTCCAAAGAAGTTTCATTTCAAATGACTTAATATACAAAGATTTTACAAGTCTTTTAGTTTTGAATAACACTAGATTTTACAAACTTTAAAGAATTGACTTTAACTCCACCATTGAATAACACCAAACTTTTAAAATCTAATGAAGTATAAGATCTAATAACACCAGATTTTAACGTTAGATTTATAATCATTAGTTGAATAACACTGGATTAGTGTTGGATTTCAATTCTATTAAAATCCATCATTGAATAACACCACCTTAGGTTTTTTTTTTTTTTCTGTCCTCATTTAAATGTGAATAAACATTATAATAATTTCATAAGAGAAGAAAATTATTACAAATTCAACAAAGGTGTACGTTTTTAACTTTTGTTTTTTTTTTAATATACAAAATTACAAAAAAAGGTCGGTCTTATTAATGGGCTACGATAAAGTCTTAATGGTTGGTATTTTTGTGTGGTTAAAGAGTATGGACCGTCCGATCTCAAAACCTGGCCCAAATTAGAAAATTACATTAACCCAATTCATTGCTGGAATTGATGGAACACAAAACCGGATTGGGAGGTGAGCTTTGGACACCCCTTCAACAAACCGATGTGCTTTTGAAATTGCCAAAGAGTGGGATTAAAAGGATGGTAGACTTCAATGCTATGTTTCTCAAGGTCATCATACCTGGTTAAACTGATCGTTTGAGAGGGAAAGAGCCGCCGCGAAGAGCTCCTAGTCCTCCGTGTTCATATTTATTTGTCAAGAGTTGTATCATGTATGTTAGCTCCATCCTCTGATAAGTTTATAACATTAATTTACCGAAGTCCAAACTTATTCAGAGGATTCGAAGTGTACACAAAAGGAATGCAGATTTAATTATTCGAATTTTATGAACATAGTCAAGAGTGAAGCCAAAGACGATCATGGAGTCTCTCTTCACCAGCTCCATACATCTCATCGACTTTTTCGCCGTCTCTATAAAACTGAAACGTGGGTGTATAGCGGATGTGGCGAGTGGTTTCAGGGCACTCGTCGATATCTGCATAAACAAACTTGAGCTTCGAGAAATTTTTGCTGAGCTTTTGGAATGCAGGTAGAATCTGGCTACAAACTCCACACCTGAAATTTTCAAAATTTAAAATCTCAGTCAAACTTGACAAAAGGGAGAACAAAAAACAGAACCGTTCTCATTGAGGCATTTCATCAAACACTTTGCAAGCATGAAATGTTTGTTCCCAAATATAGAAACCAAGACGTACCACGAAGCTCCGTAGTTAATAACAGCCTGAAAAGCACAAAACAAAAACAAGAATAACTGTCAGATTACGAAAGAACCCAGCTTGGGTCTGAAAAACGTGTACAAATGTAAGAGTTGTCGTTTGTAATAACCGGAGATTTGGAAGATTTGATGTCGTCAAGAATTGTGAGGAAACTTTGGTCGTTTGGTGCGATTTTCACATTGCCATTGTGATTTGATTTGGATTCGAAATCAATATTTGCTCCCTCCGATTCTTGCTTGCTCATTATTATTTTTTCTAGTTTTTGTTTGCTTGGTTTTTGGCGCAAATTTGATCCCTCCAGATTATATCATATATAACCACAAGTCACACTCACCTAACCACTACGGCACTAAACCCAAACCAATTGATTTAAGTCTAAACCGATGTTAACCAAAGCTAATTTTAACATCGACAGATTTCGTTAACCGGGTCAATTATGATTTTGATGGAGAAAGAAAGTAGGAACTAGGAACAACCTTTTAATGACAGTTTTTTTTATCTTCAAAAAAGTAACATAAATAGCATCTACCAAAATTTAAGAAGAAATTAATGGTTGATTAAGAGAAGATCTTGGTTTATTATTATTATGGTGGTTTTCTTCACCACCAAATTCGGATGCTGCTGAAGAAATCATGTGTTGTTGTTGTTGGAAAAAAGCTTGATTCTCCCAACTCTTTCCCATCACAACTAAGTATAGTCCACTCATGATTAGTATTGCACCAATCAATCTGACAAAAACAAACACACCAATCTGTAAGAAAAAGCTTAATGATTAGAAATGAAAACCAAATACATAATGAGTAAAACATAGATATATACATACCCGCCAAGGTAGAAGTGTTCACCAAGAGCAAAAGTGGCTAAAATAGCAGCAATTAAAGTTTGAAGAGGCAAATACGCTGATACAAACAGAGGTCCTCCTCTCTCCACTACATATATTTGTATTGCAAACACCATTGCTGAACCAATTAAACCCTGCAAATATTCAAAACTCACACCAAAATTAAACAGAGCATTCAAAAGAGTCTTAATCTAAAAAGATAAACAAACACTTACGGTGTATAGTAACGCGTATAATTCGCCTCCTGATGTTATTTTCCATCTCTCTTGATCTCTCTCGAAATAAGCAGAGATTCCAAAGAACTGTAACACGGCGAAAAAGCAAGAGTAGGAGACGAAGGAGAAGCGAGCTGAGTACTTTTTAAGCAATGGTGACTGCAACACAATCCAACTTGACCAGCATAAACAGTGACCCATCAAACAGAGACATCCCAACGTCCAGTTCTTGTTTTGTTCCTCTGCTTCTTCAGCTTTGATAGGTCGGTTCACTAAACGCAGACTCGGTTGGTAAATGGTGGGTCCTTTATAGAGTGTTATAACCAAAGAGCCTGAGACTGATACAATTGTGCCCACCACTTTGGCTATACCATCTTTCCTCTTCCATTTCACCTTCTCTATTCTACAGTAGTTGGTGTGTTATAGTAATAATGAGATATGAGTTCAAGTGAGAGATTCCATAAATATTAACATGGTATAGAGCCGACTTTGAGGGTCAATAGTAATTGGTCCGCAAGATACACATCTTGCTTCCCAAGTTATCTCCAATAAAGAATCAAGAACATACCCGAGCGACGCTGCCATGAGGAATGAAACAGCAGGAACAACATTTTCTGTTGCTGATGCGAATGTTGGTGAGGTATTGTCCAATCCAAAGATGTAAAATCCTTGATTTAACGTTATTCTATTACCAAAAATGATTAATTGAATCAAAAGATTGTGTCTTTGTTTTATATCCAAAGTCTAAAGACAAGATCGTACCCGATGAGTCCAAGAAGGAAGAACTGAATGAGAAAACTGGTTTTCATGGCCGGTCTTTCTTTTCTGTTAGAATATACAAATAATCAAGATTATTATAAAAACAAGAATTCAAGAATTAAAAAATTAGTTTCATTTTAAAGAAGTTTATTATACTTTTCAAGGAAGTAAGCAGAGGGAGCAAGAACAGAGAAAGCGACGATGGTTCGGTAAAGTGGGAAGACGAGCTTGCTTACTCCTAAGTTTAGAGCGTATCTCACGATCACGTGATTCCCTGCGTATCCTGTCTGAAACACCACCATAGCTACGTGAAGCTTTGCCCTTTCCGGTATCGGAGACATCTTTCTCCGCCGGAAGAAACCAAAGACGGCAGGAGAGATCTGTTTTGCCTTTTTTCTTTTCCTTCGAATGATCTCTTGTGGCGACTTTCTTGAAAACGACAAAAACAGAGATAAGACTGTCATGTGCAGGTTGTCTCACGTGAAAATGTGAATAGTCTGAACCGAATTTAACCAAAGCCAATTTCATCATTGACAGGTTTCATTAACCGGCTCAATTAGATGCGTAAAATTTGAACTCTCTTTGTTGCAGAAATGTGATTAGGCTTAGCACAGGGATTAGTTAACTAATCAAAACTTAATTAGATTGCTTCGTTGGCTTACACTTTTGAATGAGTGGAAAAAAGATTGCAGAAAGATCTGGTTTCATCTCTTTTGTTTATCAGAACCCTATTAAGATATTGAAATTCCCAAAACCAAACCCGATTGGATACTTCAATAAATTTAATGAATTTCTAAGATGATGAAAGTGATAATCCCTGAAGACAATGATATTAAAAATAACAAGTTGATGATGATTCAAAAAGGAAAGATACTTGGAACCTAATCCAAATCTATAATCTATATATAACTTAAAAGATGACCTAGAAGGAAAAACAAGAACCTAACTAACTGATGCATGATTTTATTATCCACTAAACTATTTGTGTTCGTCAGCTTTTTGGACATTTCCCAATTTGGGTAAACTCATGACTTTACTATTTAAGTAAAGCCAAAGCACGCTTACAAGTTCAAAGCACAAACTTAGAAAGGATTCAATTAAGTAATAACACAAAGAAAGAGAAGAAGAAAGAAAGAAAGAAAAATGGATTTTAAGAAGGAAGAAACACTTCGTAGAGGGCCATGGCTTGAAGAAGAAGACGAACGGCTAGTGAAGTTCATAACCCTTTTGGGAGAACGTCGTTGGGATTCTTTAGCAATAGTTTCCGGTACACTTTGAAACCTTGTCACTTTCCAAAAATAGAAATTTGTATGTCTGAAATATATTTTTGTTTGTGGTGTTCATACTTTTAGGTTTGAAGAGGAGTGGTAAGAGTTGCAGGCTAAGGTGGATGAACTATCTGAATCCGAGTCTGAAGCGTGGGCCGATGAGTCAAGAAGAAGAGAGAATCATCTTTCAGCTCCATGCTCTCTGGGGTAACAAGTGAGAGACAAAAAAGAAAGAAAACACTTTAATCTTTTACTTACATGATTGTTTTTTCCGGTTTGAATTAAATACTGTAAATCAATACAGGTGGTCGAAGATTGCGAGAAGATTACCCGGTAGGACTGATAACGAGATTAAGAACTTTTGGAGAACTCATTCTAGAAAGAAAGAGGAAGCTCAAAACTATGGTAGATATTAGATATACTTTCATTGTTGCATGTGTTAATTTTAGATCAGGATTCAATAAATTAATGATGTGTTTTGCTGTAGATAAGGTCATTGAGTTCAGAGGAAAAACAGGAGAAGAATTGTTGCACAAGTATAAGGAAACAGAGATCACTAGGACAAGGACAACGTCTCAAGAACATGGTTTTGATGAAGTTGTGAGCATGGAAAGTGCTAAAGAAACCAATTGTGGTATTTGTGGAAGACAAAGCTACGGTGTTATGAATTCACCGTATGAAAATCGGATTTCGGATTGGATATCAGAGATTTCGCCAGACCAGAGTGAAGCAAATCTTTCAGAAGACCACAGCAGCAGTAGCAGTGAGAACAACATTAACATTGGTACTTGGTGGTTTCAAGAGACTAGGGACTTTGAGGAGTTTTCATGTTCTCTATGGTCATAATTCTTAAGTTTGTTTATTTACTTTTTAACTCTTGGAATACCTGAATTCGAAACTCGAAAGTGCTATATTGAAACAAGTGTTCCAATATTCAAGCTCAATATGAATCAATTATGTACAATTTGAACTCAAATTTGCATCGGTTATCAAAATGAAATTTGAATCGCGAGTTAGGTCAAAGTCAAAGACAAGTTTGTTAATCTTCAAAACAATAAAAAATTTCGTTAAACAAATTTAAATATAAAGGTATATACATATCCATAGTAACAAATTAAGTAAAAATATTGATGTGTATAGTCTTGTTATATACAACAACAAAAACATGAGAAGTCCATGCTCCAATGATAAAATTTATTAGTTTTTTTTGTTAACATTATTGGTTGATGGGCTTTATCTTTAATATGAATTAATTTTAATTGTTTTAGTGTACTTTTGAGCCAAATGATTTGTTAATGTTTTATATTTTAGTTCTTTAGGGGAAAGTATTTAATGTTCAATATAGTAAATTACAATATCCTAAAGTAATCTATTGATATGATATGATATGAATGAAGTGTAGATGCATGCATGGATTGCCCTCTTGTATATTAGAAAAGACAAAGAAGAAGATAATATAAACGTTAAAGATTAATATATTATCTCAATTAGACTATTAGTTATGTATAATTAATTATAGATAGGATAGGACTATTACAACGTCACGATTGCATATACGTATAGTATGACACACATGTGGTATTATTGTAAAGAACTAATTCATTTTGTAAAACTATAAATTATGATGCCCATTAAATTAACATAAGATCATATGGAAGAAAATAATGCACAAGAATGAGTTTGGAAACTTTTTGCTTGTTCCTTGATAAAATATAAGTAAATTCAATTCATGTTACAACATAAACATTTGGGTTGAAGAAGTGAACATGGCCAAATATGATATCGAACTTAGCATGAATGCTAAAACAAGAACTGAAAAAGATAACCGGTTGGTTGAACCGGCGGCAGACATTTCATCGGTATAGTCGTTGTAAGAATCTAAACCGCTATTACCTTCCGATCCAGTAGTGGTCCACATCCCCAGATTGTTATTCCTGTACCAATTAAACACCCTCAATTAGCTCCATTTTGACTTTTTGAGGTTAATGGGCGATAATTATGAAAATAGTGGGGTAAATAAAAAAGAAATTAGACAAAAGAAAAAGGATAAAGTTAAAGCCTTAAAGGCAAAAGTAGAAGAAAACAAAACAGTATGTAGAGACATACCAATTTCTTATATGGTTTGTGTTGGTAAAACAAACGATTCAAAGTGTTCATTTGTTAAAAATGACAAGTTCTTTTTCAAAACGAAAAATTTAGTAAAGAGTGGATGATTTGTATGATAGAATGCAGAATCCAAACCTGCCGCCGACGCCGAGAACACCTGAGTGAAATGTGATTTGTGTAATGAATGAGGCGGACTTAGGCTCGACGCTATATGCCTTCTCATACCTCATTTCTGCACCTTCACCGGATGCCACGAAGAACGCTCCATTCACCAAAATGTCCCCCTCTGATCTCCAGTTCCACCCTTTCCAATCCCCATCCGGTGTTTCCACTCTCTTAGTCACCTACACGATAATACTCTCCATTTTTTTAAAATGAATGTTTTGAAGATGTTAAAGATAAAATTTTCACTATTTCAATATCTACTATTTGCAGTTCACTTAATATTTTGAGATTTGATTTTTTAATAACTAAAAAAATAATAGTAAGATAAGATAATATTAAGAAATACTCCTACTTTCATGAAACCAAAAGCAAAGTCTAAAACATATATCTTCTTAAAAAGTAAGAAGAACGGTATTATTTTTTGTATCGTTCTAATTTTATCATATGCCTAAAAAAAAAAAAATAACCAACACTAATGAAATCAAGTAGGGGTTGCTAGATTACCTCTTTGGCGAATGGATTGGTTGGGGCGGTGTACCGATTGCCCTGACTGTTAATAGTCGGGTTACCGCTACCGCCAATCGCATACATTTCCCATTGAGTAAAATCATTATTAACAACATGGATATATCCACGTCGACACCTCGGCATCCTTTGTATCAATTTCTCTCCAAAGTGATTAAACGCAATTGTTACCTAAAAAATCACAAAAACATTTCAAACACTACTCTCATTTAAAACCAAATAGTCATTCGCAGAAAGAGAATTAGTATGAACTAGTTTGTGTGTGTGACCTGCATGCCACTGTCTGGTTCATAGTGATCGCTGTGACCAAGAAGCATGACTTCATTATGGTGAGAGAAGAAGTTGTTCGATATAGTAATTCCTGTGGAACCCATCACCGCATCTATCAGACCGTCCTTGCATCTCGATAGAGAACAATGGTCGATCCAAATGTCCTTTGATCCGAATATAGAGATACCATCACCGTCCGATTTCGTTCTGAACCCGTAGTGCGTTGGACTTGACCGCACGTTAGTATTCCCTAGCGAAAGAAAAGCGTGGACAAACATATTTTCAGAATTGCTTTTATTAATAACCAAATCAATGCTATTTCAGGAAGGACGAAAGATTTAATTTTACTTTGTTTTTCTTGCTTACCATTCTTTTATGAATAAATCAATAAATGCTGATAAATTCAAACAAAACATGTTTTCTTTGTTTGCGTGTGAAAACACCAATGAATGAGAAGGAAAATATGTACACCAACAAAAGGGACCTACTAAATTATTAGGGCAAGAAAATAAAAAGGTTAAAAGTTGAAAAACTAACAATTATTGGCCGTAAAAAAAAAGAAGAGATAGTATTTTGTTTTGAACCAAAGATTGAATTAAAAGAATTTAGAAAAAGAACAAATGTGCCAAAAAAAATTACCGGATTGGTAACAATGGTGGATATGAATGTTGTGAATGATGATATTGGAGACATATTGAAGAGTGATGCAGCCACCACCAACAATGTGAACATTAGCTCCTCTTCCATCAAGTGTCTTGTAACTATTGAATATTAACTCTTGCTTTAGTTTAATCATCATGTTGCTTGGGAACACTATCCACAATGGCTCTTCTTGTATCACTCCATATCTGTCACCAAAATTTTTAAGAGGTTCATGTTAATTTATCTTCTAGGTCGTTTAAATAAATTTTCACATTGTAAACCCGTTTCCTTTGACATTGATAAAGATTCCCCAAATTATTCGAGGTCCCATGTCCCAAGAGACTGATGCACTTGTTTTATTATAATTGTCTATTCTCTAGATTTATTATATGATTTACTTCTAAGGGACAGTGTTAAAATTATAATGTAGGGACACCAAATTATAAACATCGTAAACATTACATTTCTATGTTTAAAAACGGATTTAGTTGAACAAATTATAGAGCTTTTCTAAACGTTTTAAAAGGATTTTGAGGAGGTTTTGAAGTATTTTTTAAAAAATCAGGGTTATTGGGAATTTTCCATAAAATGGAGGGTTTATTTAGAAATATAAACAAGTGGTATTGAAAAAGTCGTACGTAACAGATTGGTGTGGGCCTGTGGGGCATGTGAATATGAGATGACAAAAGAGAGAGAAAAAAAAAAAGTAATTGTGGAATAGATTAAACGTAGTACAGCTTAAACAGAATCTTATTTTCTTATAGGATTTAAATTGTGAAAGTATATAGGTTATGTTTAGGGCTAAAACAATAATGACATGTAATGTTCAAGTAAAGTATATAGTATTAGTGTTATTTAACTACGGTCAAGAAACGATAATTCAAGATCATATATTTGTCTTGAACTAATAACAGACAACACATAATTTGTCTACTTGCAAGACTTTCTTATAAGAAATCCGGTTTAGTCGGTTGAAAGAAAGGTACCTGAGAGTGCCCGGTTTAGGGTCGACGGCATCATCGTCCGAAGAATCAGTGACGAAGTAAAATTGACCACCTTTGCCTCCTAATGCGTACTGTCCGAACCCGATACCACAATCTGCTAGCCCTTGACGGTTATTAGGCCAGTTTGGGTCACATTTCCAACAGTCATCGATTGGGTTACCGGTGAAGCACGGGTTTGAACCGGCCTGGTCCGTCGTGTCCAAAGCTTGACGTCTTGTTATAGATGCATTTACTTTCCTGTGAAACAGTTAAAAACCGGATAATTAAAGTCTGTCCGGTTTAAAAGAACCGGACAAAACAGAGAACTACAGAAACAGAGCAACCTCAGTCCTCAGATTCACAAGAAGACATGATAGTAGCTTGTTAAATGTAAAACCCAGATAGAAAATTACATTAAAGAATCTGAAAAAGAGAGTAAATGTAGATCCAGAAGAGGCAATGTAGTATGTGTACCACTGAACTTCATAAGCGACTAGTTCCGGGTCAGGATGTGGTATGAGAAGTACAGTTCTGTTGAGCACGGAGAAACCCATTTGTGGAGTGAACAGAAAAAGAGAGAAGAGAAGTACAATGCAGCTTCTTTGAAGCATCATTGTTGAAGAAACTTATGAATTTAGGGTTTTTGGTTAGTTAAACGGAGGGAGAAGAAGAGAGTAGTTAATAAGAGTTAAGACATGGCTTGTTCTTCTTCTTCTCTCTCTGGTTACTGACCAGTGTTCGTGAGTGGCTTTTTTACAGTGTGTTATTGCTTTTGTAATAATGGCTTTCTTGGCTTTTGTATTTTTGTTTTTCTTTTGTTCTTTTTGAAGAGAGAGAGTGAAGTTGTTTTCCACTGACAGTCTCGAGGATTGAGAATCTGCTTGTCTCGAGGAAACGGTCTCCAATTTTTTTCCTTTGAAGCTCTTTTTTATTGTACTACTAATATTCCCAACTTCTTGAAAACGTTGATTTTAATCTTCAACTCTCGACGAAACGAAATAAATATCAAACTTATGTTGACTTTCCCGATAAAAACCAAATATTCGTTGACCTGACCATATTAGGCATGACGTTAAATAGGTTAACAAATCATATTAACAAGGTTAATTTTTCTATTAACAGACCTGTTAATTGAAAACGACAACATTCCCTCTAACAATAAAATGACGTCGTTTTGTTGTAACTCCTCTATAAAATTCCGGGTTTTAAATCATATGAAAATTTAGGGTTAGAAATTTTGCTTGATTTGAGGATTTAAGATTGAATTTAGAGATTTAGTTCAATCGTTACGACAAAATGACGTCGTTTTGTTGTTATAGGAAACAATGTCATTTTCAATTAACATGTATGTTAACAGAAAATTAACTCCGTTAACAGGATTTGTTAATCCACTTAATGTCATGTCTAATATGGCCAAGTCAACGAAAGTTCGATATTTATTTGGAAAATCAACATAAGTTTGATATTTATTTCGTTTCGTCGGGAATTAAAGATTTAAATCAACGATTTTAATGACATTTTTCCGTATAAGATAAAAGATATTCGTAGCCTCAACAGATTTAACAAACGATAGGTTTTGATATTTGAATCTCTTGTCACGGTTTTCAACTTTTATTATAAAAGTGATGTGACATTATAATAAAATTTCCCCACAAGCTCTACAATATGAATGCTAGTATTAATGGGGTTTTGGACCAGAAAAAGAGTTTTCGGTTTGATACCGGTGTCGTCAAGCTTGTTTAGAGATTTTACTACTCGATGATACATGAGATTCAATAACATTTATTAGCTAGTGAAGATGATTTTGAGTAGACCAAAATCAATTGGAATATGAATACATCCAAGTTCCACTAGACCAAAATCAATAATTAGGCATATCCAAATTCACGGTCTAACCTCCTGAAACTGTTGCAACCCGATCTATATATCCAACCAAGGAAAGAAACCCACGTTGTCCATATACACATGCGCACAAACAATCAATCATACATGAGTATGTTTTCTTAAATTCTCATGAAAGCTTATGACAAATTAGGATTTGGTTAGATAAGGCGTGATTGTTGGATTATTATTAAAGTTGTTTTTAGATTACTAATGTAAGCTAAATGTAGTGTTAAATAACGTAATGTTAGGCGGCATCTTTGGTGAAGAAAAAAAAAAAAAACATTATAGATATAAATATATACACTTTGCCTCCTCACATGTCCAATAAGATCATTGTAACCAATCATAGTGTCCATAAAAGTCATTGCTTTGCTTGTGTAATTGTTATTTTCCACGAACGATGAAATTAAGTTCTTCATTAAAACGCCTACATTACGTAAAGTAATCTTCTTTTATCAACTTGTCATTATCCAGAATGATAATTTAGATTTAGCACCGCTTCTTCATTACATTGTCATAGTATCCAACGTACTAACTATGAAGGTGGTTTTAGCTGAGTCCTAAAACAGAAGACATATATATCTTTGACCGGAGCGTGATGAAATAATGCCCCATCTCTCTCTGTCTCAGAGGAAAACTTATAAGTGGAAATAGTCAAAGGCTCTTGCTCTTTATTCTTTAGCTCGTATTATTAAAGTATTCGAATCTTTGTATTATACGGTGGGGCTAACTTAGGGCTTCATTTTTTTTGTTTGTCAATAAAGTTACTGATTTTACTGCAAATCCTTTATTGCCTCTTGTCAAAGCATCATGGACCCATGGTCCTACTCCTATCTATATGTTTTTTCTTTTCTTTAAAAATAAATTATTATATTAATAAACCACCCAAACCAGGTACAAAATGCCGGTTAATTATTGGGAAAAATATCGTTTTATCTCCCAACTTTCAAAAAGTGGTCAATCAATACGTTAACTTTATATGTGGCTATTTAAAACATGAAATAAACGTTGACTAACGTTTGAGACATGAAAATTCGTTGATCAGGCCAAAATAGACATGCCGTTATAAGTCATTAACGGAATCTCTAACGCCCGTTATCACCCGTAACGACTCTGTTAATCAACTTTCAAATTGTGGCCATTTTAAACATCAACTTCATATGTGGTCATTCAAAACATGAACTAAACGTTGACTAACAATTTGAGACATGAGAATTCGTTCACCAGGCCAAAATAGACATGTCTTAATCAGTCATTAACAGAACCTATAATACTTGTCATTACCCGTTATCGACTCTGTTAGTCTGCCCAAAACGACGTCGTTTTGAAAATAATCGAGAGGAAATCAGGACAAATTTTTTGTTTAAAGCATAATCCAAGGACATAGTTTGATATAGAGACAATCGTAGAGCCAGTAATTGGAAGCAAACATCGTTTATATATTTGTTTTAAATCTAAAAAGGAATCATGGAAGCAAACTTGTAGACCCATCATAGGACTAAATGTAGCTTTTCTGAAATGGAGATGGAGATAATAGGACTATTCATCTTGTTTGAGCTGTTGTAGAAATAGATTTGGGGATTTGGTGTTTTCATTTGGAAAAAAATCTTGATTTTCTCTCGATTATCCTCAAAACGAAATCGTTTTGGACATACTAACAGAGTCGTTAACGGGTGATAACGGATGTTATAGGTACTTTTAACGAATGATGACGACATGTCTATTTTGGCCTGATCAACGAATTCTAATGTTTCAAATGTTAGTCAACGATTAGTTCATGTTTTAAATGGCCACATATGAAATTGATGTTTAAAATGGCCACAATTTGAAAGTTGACTAACAGAGTTATTAGGAGTGATAACGGGCGTTAGAGGTTCCGTTAACGATTGATAACGGCATGTCTATTTTGGCTTGGTCAACGAATTTTCATGTCTCAAACGTTAGTCAACGTTTATTTCATGTTTTAAATGGCCACATATGAAGCTGACGTATTGATTGGCCACTTTTTGAAAGTTGGGAGATAAAACGACATTTTCCCCATTAATTATTACAAAATTGAACCAGGTACAAAATGCCGTTAATTAACCGGACGCAAACCAACAAAAACAAAACAAAACTGTTGATGTATAAAGCAGTTTCACGTTATTGTCTCTTTTTTTCTCCTTGTATCATTACGATCCAAAATTAACAGCAAAATCAATTGAATGTTGAATGATATCTAATTGATTACGTTGGTTTGGATTTAGAGTACATTTCTGTCTTTCTTAGGCCTGATTTTAACGTTTTGACCCATATATCTACATCCTATATTTTACATTTACTAAATAAGACAACCAGCAGTTGCCATTCCGTACATGCATGCGACAACAAGAATCGTTTCCTAGGACCTTGCATTGACTTTTGTTGTTGTACAAAGTTAGATTGTTCGTATATATAAATCTCAGTTATAGTTTTCTTGAACATATAAACCTGTAATGTTTAGCTGATCAGTATGCAAAGCTAGAGAAGCAAGAAAAGCTCATTATGTTGATTGTAGTAACTTGTACGTACCTTCATACGAACAATTAATTTGTCTAGTGTGAATGAATCATGAAGTTTGTAAGAAAATTTTTTGGACTTATTCTTCCCCAGTCAGATACAGCTCACATGGAGATGGATTTTGTTCGTCCACTTGTTTGAGCATAATAAGAGTACCATATGAACCTAATCTTTACTTTAATTTCTATACTTATCTTTGATATTCTAAGCAAATTAAACAATAGGTAGCATAACTTAATAAAATAAATTTTTAAAAAATAATTTGACAAGATTAATCAGAAGAATGTCATACTAATTAACTTTTTCTTTCATAACATGTGCTTTAGTTTGCAGATTAAATAGGATTTATAAATGTTTAAAGCTTCATTTCCCTCAGTTAGTCAAAGTAATTAATGAATAAGAAAGATTTGAAACAAAGATCAGTCACCTACTGATTAGTAGTCAAATGTAAATGATATTTAAGAACTATTAATAAAAAAACTCAGTATAATATTCTTGAGGCTTTTGAAAGCATGGGACGAAAAAGTAAGAAATACTTCAGCATGAGCATGCGTCTCGAAATATGAAATTTAGTTAAAAAAATTTCTGATCCACATCTTTAAGTCACGTTTGCGGTTTGCATCCAACTAAAAATAGTGTAACCAACATCCCAAGTAGGCAAGTATTTTGCAAATACGACCCTTCATGTGACACAAAGTCCACAATAAAACCAAATGATCTAACAATCATCATCCAGATGCTCAAAGGATTAGTATCTGTGAATGAGTTGCTTATATGAATCTGGATTCTTCGAATAATACTCCACCTCAGACTGTTACAAAAAATTTGAAAAAAACAAAAACAATGAATTAGTGCTAATGTACCTTGGTATTGAGAAAGTGAGAATGGGAAACTAAAAGACTAGTGTTACCTTACGGACTCCTTTTATGGCAACTAAAAGCTTTTGTCCAAGCAAATCGTGGAAAACTTCGTCTTTGTCCAGAGCTTCAACAGCTTCTGAAAGCGTTTCAGGAAGTCTGTTCAATGTAGCAGCCACATCCGCCGGATTTATATCTGTTCCATCCGAACAACTCAAGATCAAGCTTCATCTTAAGTTCTTAACACTATATATATGAGAATGAACAGCAGAAGATCTTATTTACCTATTGGAGTAGGAAGTTGGAGATGTCGCCGGAGACCATCAATACCGGCAGCCATTATAACGGCCAAACCAAGGTGAGGGTTTGCAGAGCCATCAAAAGACTTAATCTCAAAGTTAGTAACTAAACCATCAGGAGTTCCTGGTGGAGAAGCTGCTCTTAACGCCGCCTCGCGGTTTTCTCTGCCCCAGCATTGGAATGCTCCACTCCATGTATTAGGTTGGATTCGGTCGTAGCTAAAAATTTAAGTAAAATATGCAACTTTTAATAACAGTTGAGGACATTACTCAAAAAGATGCGGTTTTAATTTAGAGTTACCTGTTTGGGAGTGGAGCTATCACTGCTAAGATTGATGGAAGGTGAAATAGAACTCCGGCCATGAACTCTTCTCCAATGGAAGAGATTCCGTGAGCAGATGACTTATTAGATGCCGGGAAGACATTTTCGCCGTTTTTCCAAAGACTTAGATGCACATGTGATCCAGAACCAATGTCACAAAAATCATACCTGAAGAAAAACACACACAAATGCATTCTTTCAAAATTTGCAGTTACAACGTATAATTTGGTGGGAGAGACTGACATACTTTGGAACAAAGGTCGCAAGCAATCCATGTTTCCTTGCAACCGATCTTATAACTTCACGTGTGTAAACCAAGTTGTCGGCAGCATGGGATGCAACGGTGTGACCGAGAGATACTTCAAACTGACCTTTCCCGGATTCAGCATGAAACTATGACAAAATTTATACATGTTGTCACGGAGCATGTTACAGACTGATCATTGTGAAGGATTTTTGAATTATTTGTAACCTGTTCAACTTCAATGTTCAAGGACTCGAGCGCAGGTACAATTTCGTGGAAAATCGGGGATGCGACATCGAATGAGGATGTGGAACAGTAAGGACCAAATTCAAAAGGCACATACTCTTCTTTCCCTTCCCTTAAAAAAATGGGCAGAACAAGTGTTAAGATTGTGAAATGATTGGATTGAACAAAGAAACCTGAGATTCAAGAAATATGCATACCTCACAACATTCTTGAGGAGATAAAACTCATTCTCAAAACCAGCGTTCATTACCTTAAAACCAAGGAATGTTTGAGCTTAAGCAACCAAAAATCCAATAAAAGTTTTCATAGAATGGCTATATGGAGATTTCTTACCAAGTCAAATTCATCTTTGAGAACTTTTGCGACCCTTCTTAAGGTTTCTCTCGGACAGTACTCCCATGCTTCACCAGGCTTCAAGTGCATGTCAGCTAAAACCATGCTCTCTTGCTTCGTCCTAACGATAAATATGATACAGTAACAATTAAGAAAGAAACATCTGTAAAGTTAACTGCAAAGAGAACGAACATGAGTAAAGTACCAACGTATTGTCTGCTTGGTTGATAGATCTGGAACCAGTCTAATCTCACCCACACCTGTTAAATTAGACTCTTCTGCTGGTCCATCAGTAAATGAAGTCATCCCCATTGATGCAAAAGTCAGACCAACACCGTTCTTCTTCACACTTTTGTTAAAACGCTGCGCTTGAACAGCCTGAAACACAATACAATAAACACAATTCTTGTCAAGTTTCTGTGCTTATAAGGAAACATACTTGAGGGAAAAAGAGAGGTTTCTTTAGAAGAATAAAGAAAAAAAACTCACACGGCATCGTTGTTGTCCAGATGTATCAACCCAAATAATACGTACAAAAGAACTACTATCTTCTTGAACATCAGGCTCCTTCATCTCTAATTTGGGAGATATAATACTTTGTGGACTAGAAGAATTTGAGTCTATATCAAGCTTATAAAATTTAATCGAATTTTGTGAAAAAATGTCTTTAGCTGCATCAATAGCTTCCATGAGTGAGAGATCACCACTGGCACAAGCATCACTCAGAACTAAGAAGATGACCTCACGTGCTTTCTTTGCACCTGCGAAAAACAGCGGGCTATGTTCAAGAGTGAAGCAAGAAGATTTCAAGTTTCAAAGCTTAGAAACAAGATTGGAAAATAAAAAAAGCATGTTACAAACAAACTATACAAAAAAAGGTAGCAACTTCGAGCTAACCTAAATAGTAGGTCTCAGGAGATGCGTACCCATCAGTGCTGAACATAACCTGCAAGGTATCTTATGGTTACTCATGAACAACAACAAAGACAATGCAAGTAATAGAACTTTTTACCTTCTTTATTGAGGCTAAGTCAAGTAGCTCTTTAACTGAAGAAACCATACCATGGACACTAAGCTTTGGAACCGCCAAGCCGAAATCAAGATAAACCTTAAGGAACAAAAATATTGATAGAAAATAAGTTAACGCCTATGAATAATTTAACAGATAATTGAAATGGGATGAAGAAAGACCTGAGGATAAACTGAAGACAGAAAAGATGCTTCCTTTGAGAATGGATAAGCTGCATGAAGAAGAACGATTCGACACTTTGCAAATCTTTTGTCTTCAAGAAGGTTTCTAAGGTGAAGAGGATTTGACAACCTCAAATCTAAATCCCTGTCACCAAAACTGGCTCAAACAACAAAAGAAAAACAGAATTTTCATTACCACAAACCTCTGAGGAATGAGTTTCTGAGGCACAGAACAAGTTCTCAAAAGCTCAGAAACTTAGAAGCATTGGTGGACAAAAGCGTATTGCACACTTCAAGATTCAGGTTTGTCTGATAAAAAGATAAGACTTTACTAACATCAATCACATAGTTTACCAAATCTTGCAAACATACCCGGTGTGAATCTGCAAGGGCAAGTCGCAACGCTCAGCGACCTCCAAACTGATGGTAACAATGTAATCAATCAAGCCTTTGTTTCCTATACGGACAGGACTTCCAGCTGCAGTAATAAAAGGGTTTAAAGTGATCAGAGAACAGCTATGTTACTTCTTGATAGACCAAGCACAACCGTCTTACCTCGCAAGACTTCAACGAGGCCATTCTCAGCAACAGCTTTACTCACATAAGTATCAATATCCAAACCGCTACGATAAGCAGCAATAGTTTTCAAAGCAACAATCTTTGGAACAAGCGTGACCGAAGTAGTCAAGGTTAACCAACACTAGTGAGTAGTCACATTCATTACGAGTGTACTTAAAAGCAAAGATAAAAGGATATGAATTTAATCTTTCAACAAAGGTTTTTGTGAAAGAATCCAAATCCCAAACAGGCGGTTCAGTACTCTTAGAACCATAGAAATAACCATCATCAGGACACTCCTCTTCGAGGATTTGCTCGGCGAGAGTTTCGATACGCAAGACTCGACCGACAAATGGAACAAAGTTTCTATGCCATTCAATGTCATGTTTCTTGTCTAGCTTCAATCCATCATCAATGAGAAGAGCAGAGATTCGAGCTTCTTTAAAACACTTGGAAGTAAAAGAATCCAAACCCGAGGTTTTACGATGTTCCTCAATCGCTTCTAAAGATACTTCAGTGCCATAAAGTTGAGCAATCTCCCTCAAATTCCTCTGTTTCATTCATATAACCAAAAACATTATACCAATAAATCAATCAGAGACTATTTTGGTATAATCGGAACAAGTCAACATCTTGTGACAAAATCGGAACTTTAATTAACTAATTCGATAGAGAGTTATTAGATTCTGATTCAAACGAAAACGACGGTGTGTTAAGGAGACTTGATCAAAATAGAGCCAGAACTGAGATTGGTTGATAACAGAGACATGGTATCGTCGTGTACCTTGAAAGAGAGAGAATGAGGAGCGAAAGTTAAAGCGTCGCCGGCAGCCTCGGAGAAAGTTCCGATGAACGGAAAAGACGAGTCAAGAGAGACAATGTTGTGTGCGTGAGCATCAACGAGCTCTATCTTCTCAATTGCTTCTTTTAACTCCTTAAACTCCATCTCTCCCTTTGTCTAATCAACCGAGGAATAAGAAGACAGAGTTTGATCTTCTTACAATTTTACTACAAGACCGTTTTAAAAAGCATGAGTGAAGAAGATCGAAATCGTTGACTTTTCGTTGTCTGATTTGGTCGGCGGCGTTTAGAGGAGAGTGATGAGCACGTGTTCACGTGACCAACAGTTAGCCTCCACGTGTCCTTACCATTGTGGATAACTTTCAACAGTTTTCTTGGTTTTTCATTTTCCAATTCCGGTTCACGTTCATTTTTCCAAATTCGGGTTCCTTGCCAAAGAAGTGTGTCCAATCTCGTTTAACAAATTCGAATTCCAAATTTATTAGAAAAAACTCCATTTAAACCGGAAAAAAAAAAAAACTGATTAAAGCTAAATTTTTGAAACTTTTGTAAATTGGGTCAATTAGGTGTATAACCATATTTGATAAGCAAATGAAGAATATAGCATCATAATCTTAGAAATTAAGTCAATAGCACAAAGTTCTTGAGAATTACCATTTTGGGTTTTGGTGAGAGGCAAAAATGATTTCTTTATCCTACATGGAGCAAAAAATAATTATACCCCATGGCAAGTTTTTTTGCTTTAATAATTGTTGTAAGAATTTATTCAATTTTGTGATTCTGCTAAAAATCATATTTTCTTTTTTTACATATGATATAGTTTGGATTTTTTAAATCGGATACGTATTTTTTAAAATAGTAAATAGTTTGACATAAATAAAGTAGTATAGAATAAAGTGAAAACAGTATAGAAACGAAGCGTAGTGGCTATGATGATTCTGGAGACGGTGTGGTGGTGGTGGTTACGGTAATAGTGATAGTGTGGTGGTGGTAGACTGGTATTGGTGATGGCATGGTGGTGATGGTTGCGTCGCGGAGACTATGGTGGCGATGACATGGTGGTAATGGACTAATGGTTGTGGTGGTGGTGGTGATTATAAATGGAACGAGACGTAGTGGCCATTATCACTTTGAGGAGGTCGACGATGACTAAAGGTTTCTCTCTAACAGCGTGCTGGTGTGACGGTGTGATAGTGGTTGCGGTGATGGTGTGGTGGTGGTTGTGGTGGAGATGGTGGTGATGACATGGTGAAAATGGTGGTGGTGGTGTTTATAAATGGAACGAGATGTGGTGGTAATTATGACTTCGATGAAATCGACCATGATAAAAGGTTATGGTGGTGAGTGGTGACGGTGTGATAATGGTTACGTTGATGGTAGAAATAAATAGTACAGTTAAAAAGAAGAGTGAAAAGAAGGTAAGAAACAAGGGTATAATGGCAAATATTATAGAAAATATACTGAATATTATCCATTTTTTTTTTTTTTGGTTAGTTAGTGAATTATTAAATTTTTGTTGGTTATGGATGCAAATTTTCCTTGTAAATTCAAAGCTAAACTTTTGAAACTTTTTTGATTAAAGCTAAAACAACATCAAACCAATTCTTTATATTCTACAAACCGAATTTTATTCTGGAAACCGAACAATCGAAATCAACACCAAACCGGAGAAGAAGCAAAAATGAAACAGAACAACTGTGTCATCGTCTTCTAGCTCCGTTTCTTTTCTACACAGAAAATTTTGCAGCTTCTTCTTCTCTATCATTTTTCTTCCATGGAATTGATACAAAATCGTGTTCAAGGGACTACTTTCACGTACGCCAATGAAATCACACGACTCCGCTTTTCTCGGTAACATTCTCATATTTCATACTGTTTTTGATTTTACGTTTCTTTAATTCTTCAGTTGGGTTTATTTAAATCTATCTTCTCTCTGTTTCTCATTCTTTCAGTAGCGTGGTTCAGCAACATATATCTTCCCCTGATTATTTTCGGTGTGTACCAACTATTTCAATAACGCCCACAATGTGTTCGACAAAAGTCCCCAACGAACGTACTGGGAAAATGAACTCTGGTCTCATCTCAACAAGACACCAAATAGATCCTAAGAAAGAATTGTCTCGGATTCTGAGAACAGATGCTGCTGTGAAGGGCATTGAGAGGAAAGCCAACTCCGAAAAGTACTTAACTTTATGGCCAAAAGCTGTTCTTGAAGCTCTTGATGAAGCTATCAAAGAGAATCGATGGCAGTCTGCTCTCAAGGTACACTTTATTTTTGTCCTTCTTCGTCTTTACGGATACTTGGCCATAGATTCGATAGAATTCATTTTCCTGTTTCTCTACTTTATAGATTTTCCATCTTCTTAGGAAGCAGCATTGGTATGAACCAAAATGCAAAACATACACAAAGCTGTTTAAAGTGCTTGGGAATTGCAAACAGCCTGATCAAGCCAGCTTGCTTTTCGAAGTTATGTTGTCTGAAGGATTGAAACCCACCATTGATGTGTATACGTCTCTTATCGCTGTTTATGGCAAAAGCGAGCTTCTAGACAAGGCGTTTTCTACGCTTGAGTATATGAAATCGGTTAGTGATTGCAAGCCAGATGTGTTCACCTTTACTGTTCTCATAAGATGTTGCTGCAAACTTGGTCGGTTTGATCTGGTTAAACGTATCATTCTTGAGATGTCATATCTCGGAGTTGGATGCAGCACGGTTACTTACAATACTATTATTGATGGGTATGGAAAGGCTGGCATGTTTGAGGAAATGGAAAATGTTCTGGCTGATATGATCGAGGATGGAGATTCTCTTCCGGATGTCTTCACGCTTAACTCGATCATTGGGTCGTCGGAAATGGTGGCACACGAGGAAGATGGAGAGCTGGTATAGTCGGTTCCAGCTGATGGGAGTGCAGCCAGACATCACTACATTTAACATACTGATCCTGTCATTTGGAAAAGCTGGAATGTATAAGAAGATGAGCTCGGTCATGGATTTCATGGAGAAAAGGTTCTTCTCCCTGACGACTGTCACTTACAATATAGTGATCGAGACGTTTGGAAAAGCTGGAAAAATCGAGAAAATGGATGATGTATTCAGGAAAATGAAGTATCAAGGAGTGAAACCAAACTCAATCTCTTATTGTTCGCTTGTCAACGCGTATAGCAAAGCTGGTCTTGTCGGTAAGATAGATTCGATTTTGAGGCAAATTGTGAATTCAGATGTAGTACTGGATACACCGTTCTTCAATTGCATAATCAATGCATACGGTCAGGCTGGTGATTTGGCCACGATGAAGGAACTATACATACAAATGGAAGAGAGAAAATGTAAGCCTGATAAAATCACTTTTGCGACTATGATCAAAACCTATAAGGCTCATGGGATATTCGATGCAGTCCAGGAACTCGAGAAACAAATGATTTCCACTGGTGAGAATTTAGATATCCTCTTAGAAAAATAATAATTGAGATAAGAGATATATATGTTGGGTATTGCAGCTCTATTTGGTGGTTGTATTTGTGTCTGAACTATGTTTCTTTTACTGGGTTTTAAGATATAGGCAAGAAGAGGCTTATGGGGTGATGCTTTAGTTTGTGAATGAGCAAATCAATGCAGAAGGAATTTGGAAGTTGTGAATTGTTCACACTAAGAGGATCACTTGAGGTAACCTTTTTGTTATGAAGTGTTTTTTTTACTCTAAACTTCAAGATACAATGGAGACGCATGCCTGAGTGTAAGCCCTGTTCGTTTGCAGAGACGCTGCGACATGGGCATTACTAATGAGAATTTGGGTCGGTTCTGAAATTACCAAATCAGCATTGTGGAGAAAACGTAATGATTCCGGTCAATGTAACTATGTAAGTAATAAAAGCCATCTTATGTAGCTATCAGACTAATGTTATGGTCTACTTTTCACATATGTTAAAAAATATTATCATATATTGTGTTTGTTTATTTTGGATTTGTTTTCATCTTTTTAGGTTGGGACAGCGGTCTAGAATCAAAACTCAATTCAAAGTTGTCTTGGTAAAGTAAAATATAATTTTCTTACGCAGGCTATTTAGACGGGTCAAAATTCAAAACAAATTGTGATCTAAACTCTAACGTAGCTATATATACATATATTGTTTTCCAACATCGTATTACATATATCATTTGTGAAGAGTGACCTGCTTTTCAATCAAAGAGTATTTTTTTTCTCTGTAACATCTTCTACAATGTGTTCTCATGATCCTCTTCACTTCGTCGTAATACCCTTTATGGCCCAAGGCCATATGATCCCATTGGTTGACATCTCTAGGATCTTGTCCCAGCGTCAAGGCGTGACTGTCTCCATCATCACAACTACTCAAAATGTAGCCAAGATCAAGACTTCACTCTCATCTTCCTCTTTGTTTCCGACCATCAACATCGTTGAAGTTAAGTTTCCGTCTCAGCAAGCAGGTTTGCCAGAAGGGTGCGAGAGTGTAGATATGTTGGCTTCAATGGGCGATTTGGTGAAGTTCTTTGACGCGGCCAACTCCCTTGAGGAGCAAGTTGAGAAAGCTATGGAGGAGATGGTTCAGCCACGACCGAGCTGCATCATCGGAGACATGAGCCTTCCTTTCACTTCAAGACTTGCCAAAAAAATGAAGATCCCCAAACTTCTCTTCCATGGGTTTTCTTGTTTCAGCCTCATGTGCATACAAGTGGTTCGACAAAGCGGGATCTTAAAAGTTGTAGAATCTAACGACGAGTATTTCGAGTTGCCCAGCTTGCCTGATAGAGTTGAGTTCACTAAACCTCAGGTCTCTGTGCTGCAGCCTATTGAAGGAAATATGAAAGAGAGTACGGAGAAGATTATTGAAGCTGATAATGACTCTTATGGTGTTATTGTGAACAGTTTTGAAGAGTTAGAGGTTGATTATGCAAGAGAATATAGGCAAGCAAGGGCTGGAAAAGTTTGGTGCGTTGGACCTGTTTCCTTGTGCAATAAGTTAGGGTTAGACAAAGCTAAAAGAGGAGATAAGGCTTCCATTGGTCAAGACCAATGTCTTCAATGGCTTGACTCTCAAGAAAGGGGTTCGGTGCTCTACGTTTGCCTTGGAAGTCTATGTAATCTTCCCTTGGCTCAGCTCAAAGAGCTGGGACTAGGCCTTGAAGAATCTAATAAACCTTTCATATGGGTTATAAGAGAATGGGGACAACATGGAGATTTAGCAAAGTGGATGCAACAAAGCGGATTTGAAGAGCGGATCAAAGATAGAGGACTTGTGATCAAAGGTTGGGCCCCGCAAGTTTTCATCCTCTCACACGCATCCATTGGAGGCTTTTTGAGTCACTGTGGATGGAATTCGACTCTAGAAGGAATTACTGCAGGAGTACCATTATTGACATGGCCTTTGTTTGCTGAACAATTCTTGAATGAGAAGTTAGTGGTGCAGATACTAAAAGCAGGGTTAAAGATAGGAGTAGAGAAATCATCGATGAAATATGGAAAAGAAGAGGAGATAGGAGTGATGGTGAGTAGAGAAAGTGTGAGAAAAGCTGTGGATGAGCTAATGGGTGATAGTGAAGAAGCAGAAGATAGAAGAAGAAAAGTTAAAGAACTTAGTGAATTGGCAAATAAGGCTTTGGAAGAAGGTGGATCTTCAGATTCTAATATCACATTGCTCATTCAAGACATTAAGGAGCAATCACAAAATCAAATTTGAATCAAGGAGGTTACGAGTAAAAATTGGTGTTTGGCATCAGAGGAAGGTTGTAAACTATTTTTATTTCTCCATGTTAGAATAAAGAAGTTTGTAATAATTAAAAAAATAAAAAGGTACTAAATTACCTGCCCAATGTGCCTGAAATAATTGAGCTGGTTTGGTTTATACTTTATAGCAATGGATAATTAACAATATTTCATGTGTCTATCCACAATATAAAGACAAAATTTGTTTCATACTTTTGGACCCATATGTTTTAAAATATAGGTTTTTGTTATTAAACTAGAGCCCATAGATAAAGAACATGGTTTAGGAGAAGAATGAACTGGGGCCTGGATAGAGAACATATCTTCTCTAGATTTTACCAAAAACTCGTCTCCATAATATTTTTGATTCAGGAGCATCAAACCATATACAATGAGTATATTAAAAGACACAAAGAGGATGCTGTTGAGGTCATATCAAATGAAGAAAATAAGGTATTTGGGATTTGGAAATCCAAAGCTTTAGTTGTTCAAGAATTAACAACCAATATTCCTTAGTATTTAAAAGACGACCAAGAGAGGATCATCCAAGAATAACTTATATTGAATCGATTTTTCTTCGTTCAATATTAGTCTATTCAGTTTTCTTCTAAAAATTATTTTAAAAATCAAGTTTTTGGCACTGTAGATTTGGATCATCTGCATGTTAATGTGTTGAATAATAATATTTTTCCAATCACCGATTTTGATAAGATTAAAATATGATACTAGTCAGTCCTTTAGGGTAAGATTGCAGAATTGTTTTCAAAATTTCTGTGAATCTTCTTATGCAAGTTGTTCTGAATTGATTCATTTTTGACATTTGGACGTGGCTTTGCATTTCTCATGAGATTAATACATTTTTTTAAGTTTTATTGATTAAAAGTCTAAGTTTACAGATTGATTCGTCTTAATTAGTCAAATATGAAGATCTTGTAAACAGTAAATGAAGACATAGATGAGAAAGAGATATCAGTATTTTTCTTGTGCACAAAGAGGCATGCTCCATCAAACAACATGAATGTATACATACAATAGTGGCAAAATGAAACTATGCCATATAAACACAAACTTAATTAGACTTTTAATCATTTAAACTATAGTGGATTTTCTTAAATTCGTTTGTGTTTTATATTTTCATATTAAAATAATGTATTCTGCTCTAAATGAAACCATGTTTATTAGAATCTTTATTTAAAATTTGTAAACAAAGACATAAAACAAGAACGGAAAAGAGAATTAATATTTGATTACAAAAATACGAAACTTGTTATCAGTAGAAGATGCCTTGTGAAAAGCAATACTATGTATACATTCATGTTGTAAATATGATACAAGAGTTCATATTTAAAAGCATCAACATAATGACAAATTATGATTAACGAAAAGGTATGAGTGTACACGTCAATTCTCCAATATTCCGAAAGTTGAACTGGTCTACGTTGGTTTGTTAGCCACATACGCACAATTGAACGTTTCAAAGAATCATTTTTCATGCAGACAGAGAAAAAGAAAATGTCCTTTTTAGACGGAACTCTATAAAAAAGATTAGGAAACTATACGTACAAACAGATATGCCGTGGTATTTGGGGTTTGTTTATTTCAAATGATCAGCTTAAATTAATGACTTGACTGTCACAACTATATGATTTTCTCGGGCTAAACGCTAGCTAGCTAGATATTTAGTAGTTTCCTAATTAGTTGGTAGAAATGCCTTGATTTAAAAGATTTTATGAACTTTTTGGTGATAAAATATTAAAATTGAAGTATTGTTTTTCCAGTCTCCAATATATTTCGATGGGGATATTATACATAACCGAAGGTTGAGATCATACATTAATATATCCAAGTTGTCATTCATTATTATTTTTTATTTTTTTTGTTTCATACATTACCTTGTTCTTAGTCATCAAAAGAATATTTGTATTATACATATCCTGATAGACTACAACTTAATAGAATACATGTTTAAATTTCAAGTATTTCGCATATCCAAAGTTATAGATTCGTTCATTACCACCAGCTAGTGATATCTTGAGTTGAGGTAGCCTTTGATTTTGTTTTCCTTCTTTCTTCTTTCATGCGATCTTTGGAACCAATGTTTTGAACTCCGTACGTACCTACACATTTTTTTAAAAAAAATTGATCATACGTACAGAAGAAGACGGTTCTTTTCTTCTAGTTTTGTTCAATCTAACTAACGATGTGAATTATGTATCAACCTTATAAAATACACGATGTGAATCATGTGATAACAAAACTTCGTGGTGGAGATCTGAAAAAAAAGAAAAAAAAGATAACCAAACTAATGATCTAAGATATTCTAACTTATATATGGGGGGTGGGGGACAAACCATAATTAATGGAACTCTAAACGCCCCAACGGCCAAGCTTGACCTACTTGAATCATTGTCAGAAAAAAAAACAAAAGAATATAACAATTTTTATATAAAGTTGTCTTTTCTTAAATGTCATCAGTGAATATTTAACTTGTATCACTAATAAAAAAATTAACATACGTTTATTTCAACTTAATTGACGTATATCACTGGACTAAGAATTTCAACATTTTTGGTTTCATGTGAGAATTTAAACTTCCTCATATTTTCCTTGAAATTTTATCTTATGTAACTCATTAACAATGTGTCATGGTGTAATGACGTAAGTCACTTCCGTCAGCGACAAAAGATTTAAAACAAATGAGGGTACATGATTGGTTCTCTAAACAATAGTTTTTTTCGTGACTTGTTCAAAGTCAATATACAGCTTTTGATGACTTTCCCAACAAATTGAGGTCGGCATTACCAGATGCATTCACACATGTATTTATTTATATATACATGTAGTCGAATTTTGTGTATTTTCTATATGCGTAAATGTTTGCTAAACCCAAAAATGGAATCAAAACTAGTTTCAAAAGCCAAAAAACTTCACTTTGTTTTGATCCCTCTCATGGCTCAAGGGCATCTGATCCCTATGGTCGACATCTCCAAGATTCTTGCGCGACAAGGCAACATCGTTACCATAGTTACAACCCCTCAAAATGCTTCTAGGTTTGCGAAGACAGTTGACCGAGCAAGATCGGAGTCGGGTCTTAAAGTGATCAATGTCGTTAACTTTCCAATTCCTTACAAAGAATTCGGTCTTCCCAAAGATTGTGAGACTCTCGACACTTTGCCCTCTAAAGACCTCCTACGGAAATTCTATGACGCTGTGGACAAACTTCAGGAGCCTTTGGAACGGTTTCTTGAGCAACACGATATCCCTCCAAGTTGCATAATCTCCGATAAATGCCTTTTTTGGACGTCAAAAACCGCAAAGAGGTTCAAGATCCCGAGGATCGTTTTCCATGGAATGTGTTGCTTCTCTCTTTTGAGTTCGCACAACGTCCATCTTCATAGCCCGCACCTTTCGGTTTCTTCGGCCTCAGAGCCATTCTCTATACCAGGAATGCCACATAGGATTGAGATAGCTAGAGATCA